GAAGACCAGCAATACACCCGTTAGAGTTCCGGTGCCCACGACAACCAACGGGTGTATTGCTGGTCTTCCAGATCATTAACGAAAACCCAATATGAATCGAAATTAAACTACCTAGGATATGACTCATGAGGATAATTTATACATTATGGTGTTGCGTTCAGGTTGATTGAAATCTGAAGTTATCTATCAAGTTTTGGGGCCGTGGTTCGGAGCTAGTGAAAGCCGATCATGGTGCACAAAGGCTGCATCAACGTCTTTATGCCACAGTTGAGAATGCACAAAGAAGCCGGCATGGCAAAGCTTTAAGCTGTCGACAATGCGATTGGTTGGTCTAGACATCCCTGTCCCATGACAAGTAGCCCCTCCCTGGTTGACCTGCCTATTACAGGCTCACTCCCCAAGACCTGATCACCAACTCTTGTCTCGATTCAAGAAACTAAGGCTGATCATCAAATTGGAAACAATGAGCGACGACTTTCATAATCCTGCACTTTCAAAACTGTTGCAGCGTGTTCAGCATACTGGGGCCTCGGAATATATGAGTGGCCTTAATATATGGACGGGATGTGCTGTGATCCTGGTAGGTGCTTGCATTTGGAGAATCTTGAGGCTCCTCTGGGTTACACTGCTCACCGTCCCGTCTTATGTTGTATCAGTTGATTATAATTGGCCATAAAGCTTCACAGGCGATCTATAACGTCTACTTCCATCCTTTGAGGAAGTATCCTGGCCCTTTCCTATGGCGAGTGTCGCGGTGGCCATGGGTGTTGAAGCTCTGGAGTGGGGATCTACCGTTCCACCTAGCGCAGCTTCATGAGAAATATGGAGACATTGTACGCATCGCTCCAGATGAGCTTTCAGTGATACACGAAACTGCATGGAAGGATATATACGGTCACCGAGTTGGGATCAACGCAGGTGCCGAAATTCCAAAGCATGAAGGCTTTTACGTGCTTCACAAGGACATGCCACGGTCGATCACCAACGCTGGACGAGATCAGCATACTATGCTAAGACGTGGACTAGCTCACGGTTTCTCAGAAAGAAGCATGCAAAATCAGGAGCCCATCATTCGTGGTTATGTTGACCTACTAATGTCACGTCTGACTGAAAACTGTCAAGAAACAGAGAGCGATGATACCATTACCGCTCAACCGCTCAACCTCACAAGCTGGTATAACTGGACTACTTTTGACATTATTGGCGACTTGACAATGGGGAGCCCTTTTCACTGTCTCGAGAGAGTAGACTACCACCCATGGGTCAAAGCGGTAGCTGATGCCCCTCGAGAGATAGCCATTCCTGTAGCGCTTCGAACTTTGAACTACAACACACTCATCAATATCCTCCTCAAACTTGGGCTGAAGAAGCGAAAGGAGCATCTACGTTATCTCACTGAGCATTTAGGCATGCGAATAGGCTCTGGGGTTGGCCGTCCTGATCTTGTGAACGGTCTGATAGAGAAGAGGATCTCTGGGGTATGAGAGCCCTAGCCATTTCACCAGACAGTGCACTCTCTCTAACGCAAGCAAGAATCTTGACTTTGGAACATTACAGAACACTTGCGCATCTCTCATCAATGCCGGTTCGGAGACTACAGCCACAGTCCTCGCTGGTGTCACTTACCTTTTGCTGCAATACCCCCAGGCATTAGAGAAGGTGACACAAGAAGTTCGATCGGAATTTGCCAGAGAAGCGGACATTACGTTCACTTCGGTCCAACACCTTTCGTATATGCTAGCCTGCCTGAACGAGGCACTTAGGATGTATCCACCCGTTTCTGCTGGACTACCACGGTGCGTGCCCGCAGGCGGTGCTGTCATTGCTGGGCAAGTAATGCCAGAAGGCGTGAGTCTAGCCTATCGCCACGTATGGATGTCTCTAATTCACAAAAGACGGTTGTTTCCGTTCCTCAGTACGCTATGTACCATAATCCGAGGCATTGGCAAAAGCCATACGAATTTCATCCCGAGCGGTTTCTTCGTGATCCCCAGTTCGCCAGCGACAAACTAGACACGCTACAACCTTTCTCAGTCGGACCTCGAAATTGCATAGGAAGGAAGTAAGTGACTTTCTGCCATCTTGTAGCTTTCATGATATATATGTGGCTCTAATAAATGCCTTAGCCTCGCCTACGCTGAGATGCGGCTTATTTTGGCTCGAATGATATTCAATTTTGATATGAAGTTGGCTGAAGGGTGTGATAACTGGATTGAAACACAGAAGTCTTATTTTCTGTGGAAGAAACCATCACTGAATGTGTATTTGACCCCTGTGCGGAGATAAATCAAGGTCATAGGATTAGTTGTGCTCGGATTGTTTCACAATTGTGTTTTGCTCTTTAAATTAAGCCGGCTTTGCTCATGGGTGAAGCTTAGTGATGTCAAATGTTACAGTTCAACTTCTCTGGGGTTCCAGCATATGGTGCACAGTATTTTAGTGCTCATTCTAGCAAGAGCCTCGCTATATTCATAAGCCTAGGCCACTAAACGTGAGCGGTTACCAATATTAGCTACCGCCATCTCCAACCACCCTTGCCATGTTTGAACATTATTGCAGCCCTAATACTTGCCGAGAACACTGATCTGAGGCGACTTGAAGACATCCCAGTTGTCGGCATGAGTTGGATTACCAAACGGCTTTAGGGTTGCGAAACGTGACCTTGATGATCAAGTCAGTATCACATCAGCTCTCATCGAGAGTAACAGGCACTCACGTGTAATTGCCAGTGGCAATCTGACTTCCATTCGCGAGTTTGCCGAACCACCAGTGCTCAAAATAGCCAGTAGGCGTGTTACGATATATGTCGGTGAGAGGGTAGTTGAACGTCTCGTCGGGGTCATATAGTGCAGGGTTGAAGACCGAGACTTGTCCTGAGCCAACCCATGATGCAACGGACCCAATGTAGCCATTCTGGCCTGGCACAGGAGGGTAACTCCACTGGCGTTCGGACCAACCCTCCTCAAAAATCTTCAGAATTGTGTTAGCCGCAAGGGTACCTGTCTTAGTTGCTGGTCTAGGGCACTTACATCCCAACGGACCTCCCTTGTTCCCCAAATATTTCTGCTGAAGATCTTCGGGAAGTCTTGCGCACTAACGCTGAGATTGAACGTGTAGCTGTCAATATGTTAGCAGAGTATCGCTGACTTTGTAGGTTCATATAACACACTAGGACTTCACAGATATGTCGATGTTGCTCCTGGTGGAGTAGGAGATCGGGAAGGGAGTCTGATAGATGGGATCTATTTCTTTCCTCAAATCGCCACCAAGTCCTGACTATGTTAGTCTCCTCACTTCTTAGGACGACACAATGCTAGCTTACCCAAGTATGGCACAGAGAGCTGATCTCCATTGCTTCCCGAAACAATAATCTTGCCGCCATAAAGGGGTAAGGCAGACGCGTTCCATCCGAGCGAATCCGGGTTCTTGAAATTGATTCTGTCAAACAGATATCAGCTATTGTGGCCCACAACTCATACTGTCACCAACTTACGAAACTGTCTTGCTTTGGCCTGGCTTCAATGTGAAGTCTCTTGGTAGACTGATTTCAGGAGTAAGGATTTTAGGAACCAGTTCTGCGAAAGCCCTGACACGCTTCGTTCCGGTAGTTCCCGAAACGGGAAACCAACCCAAAGTGTCAACACCCGCGCCATCCTGGGCCGATAACTTGTATGTGATGTCTTTTGAGCCAGTGTTGCTAACGGTTATGTCGTGGTATCGACTGAAATAACGGGTGTCATTTAGTGCGATCTTTTCAAATTGCAAATCGGTATCATAGTGCAAAACTTTGAAAGCATCAATCAAACCATTGCCGACCTGGGCTACAGGAGCAATGTATCCGTAGTCAGTTGCGGTGCCATCGGACCAAGGAAGCGCTCTGCCGCTGGCGATGATACGCCGAGACAGAGTCTTTGCAAAGGCGTTGCCCTGAACACTTCGACCACCGTACTTGCTGATATATAGAGCAGCAACACCAGCGACATATGGACAGGCCATGGATGTGCCACTGAGAATCGCGTAGGAGTTATCCAGGTATGTGCTGAAGATATTGCCTCCAGGCGCAGCGATATCCGGCTTGATTTGCAAGTCATATAGGCCACCCCAGGACGTGAAAGTATTTGGCCTGTTGCCGGCAGGATAAGGAAGTCCTACAGGGATTTCAGGGTTGACAGAAAAGTCAGCAGTGACATTGCCTCCCGCTTTGATAGTCTCGATAATCGACTCGCCACTCTCAGCTGGAATGAGAGCAATCAGCGTATCGTAATTTCCAGTAGAAGGAGTTACTAGCGGTCTATCATCGTTAAATATCAAGATATATTCAGCTCCAAGTGCGGCCAGGTTCTCTTGTTTTTGTTGGAAGGTGCACGTTCCTCGCCTCACAAGAGGGATCACTCCAGTCAGGTCGCGCGTACCAGCAGGATACGGGTCGCACCCATCAGCTGGAGCGTCCGGGTCCAACGACAAGGATACGATCGGCCAATCTACAATCGTGGTCGGGAAATAGTATGTTGAAGGCAGATAACCAACCTTAACAGTAGTGCTGTTTCCATCTTGGTTGTAAGTGGCTTCAAACGGCGTTGCCGGGAATTGCTCTGTCTCCACAGATGCGATTGCAAGAACATTCTGCCCAGATGAGCCTGAGCTGCCGTAGAATGGACCGACTGAGCCAGAATTTCCCGCGGAGATCGTCACAACAACACCCTCCTCGACAAGGCGGGAGGCAACCTCAGCCCAGGCATTGTTAGACCAACCTAGGACGTTTCAAGTCAGCAAGAACTCTATCACAGCCGCAAAGATGCGCAAATTGGGGTATGTGTACCATTCGCTCCGCCGATAGAGGAAGTAATGACGTCGACCTGACCAGCAAGAGTTAGTCGTATGTGTTGCATATCGAGTCCAATCGTTACATACTCCCTCGTTATAGGCAGCCAGGAACGCATCAATGAGCGTGGCCGAGTCAGTGGTTTCCTGTCTCTAAGTTAGCCTTAGAATAACATTGCAATATTTCTGTACGGCTCACATCCTGTGAAAAGACCTTATACAGGTAAAGTGTCGCCTCGGGTGCGACGCCAGTCCAGCTTTGATCAGGAGTCAGCATTCAGATATAGCAGGTTTCTGTTCTGGGACATACCCTTCAGCTTTACCAGCGACAATGCCGCTTACGTGGGTACCGTGGCCTTGCTGGTCTAAGGGGTCTGAGTCTGGCACCTTTGAGCCTACGGATGGCCAGACTAAAACTTGTTAGCTTTTGTAGTATCAACCTAGTAATGAAAATAGTTTCATACACCCATCGCCCACAAGATCATAGCCACCTGCAATTTTGAATCCGGGACCGAATCCACCACCAAGCTATCATGTTGTTTAGTAACTCCAAGAAGACATTGAGTTTGCGATATACTTACTGCAGGATGGTAGTACCATACTCCCGTATCGACAATGCCAACCTTGACGCCTTCGCCAAAGATCCCTTCGTCATGCAACTTAGAGACTCCGGTAGCGTTATGTGTGGTATAGTTAGGCGCATCCTCTACTGCGACAGCTTGTGGATCGAGCGGCTCCAGTTGAATCACTTGATTGGGCCAGACTCGTACGATCTCAGGCAAGCTCAATAGACTATCAAGGTTGTAGGTGTCTGTTTCGATGCTTGCGCCAGAGAATACTGCGCTGTCGAACGTCTTCACGACCTTGATACCGTCGGTTGTATCAAGGTTCTGACGCCGTCTAGTCGATCCCTGCATAACACATAATTAGTGTCTTATTGGATGAGCAGCGGCTTCGACTCTACACATACAGGTGCATATTCGACTATGAAGCTCTTGGCTACAATAGTAGCGGCATTGTCAGAGTTGTCCTCCTCTTGCCGAGGTAGCAAAGCTGCGGCGCCATTCAATAAAGGCAGAGCAATGACGAGCGCGTAGAAACGCATTGTGCTATTTAGCAGTCCGCGAACCGATGCCGTCGTGGACAAAAGCTCGAGTGGATGGATATGTCCATGCGTATCCACAGGCCTAATGAGCTGGATTATATATCATGTTCAATCTCGCCGATTAAAGCGTAGAGTTGAGAGAGCTAAACTGTGATAGTGATGACTCTCCCCTGCAGAAGGCGTGATATCCAGGGTATCCATGCTGATGTTGTGATCCAGCGTCGTAGCACATCGGAACTTCAATTGGTCTCGCATGTTCATTGTTGACGTTATCGCAGGGCAAATCAGAGTTATCGCCTGCCAAGGCCGTATAGTGACATGAGCTTCCTCGTTGGATCAAGTTCATGGAGGGGCTCAAATTGGCTCGGACAATAGTGCGCATGGCGTGCGCCGCGGTACCTTCTCGCACAGCATTGACCTACCATGTTGAGAGATCGGGGGCCGCTTTGTGCGTGCCTAGATGTAGTATCATAAGTGCAGGGGCCCGCGGGGAAGAGTAGCTCTGCCGTTTGCCAAGCTCATAGCACCGCTGCAGTTGATACGGCGGAGGAAGGCGGGCTTGGTTACAGTACCGGCCAGTGTCACATCGCCTAAATCTCGTCACCTTGGCAGGCCGAGACCAGAGCCATGCAGCCATGATAGCAGGCAGATGCTGCTTTGACCTGCCATTCTTCATGTCAATCCAAATTTAAGCAATGCAACTGGAACCTCCAAACTAGTCTTGCCTTCGACGAGATCATCACACCAGAAGAACGATAAGTTACGAAAGATCACACCAACCCCGATGCCAAATTGCGCCTTCTTAAGCCATACCTCGAATACACAGATGTATCATTCGTATGCTGCTATGCCAGATGTAACATCCAATCATCGACACCAAAATCTTGTGATGTAAACCAATTCTGGTCCAGCAACTCAGCATCCAGTATCTCGCCCAGGTCGTCAAAATTGTTCGGCGTTGCTGGGTCGTCAAAAATGGTATGAGAAACAGCTGATATTGGAACAGCAACATCAGGGGATTGAACAGAACTAGATCTAGGCGTTTCTGAGTAGTGAAAAATTATGTTAGATCGGACGGAAAGGTCATATTGAGAAAAGTACAAGCGACTTGCCGTCAACGTGTGTTCCTCTATCTTCAGCACCCTTCTTTAATCTTTGCATTGTTTCGATTCCTTTGTCAGCAGATGCTACGTGAGCTTTATGGAATTGGAATATCTCCATAGCCTTATTCCAGGATAATTTGCCGCGACCAGTGTCAAGACGGAGCTCGAGAAAGGGGCACAAGCTGGCAGCAATTAAGACCGAGGCAGCAGCAAATGCGACTAGTAGCAATTAGCAGTTGTTCATGGACTAGACACTATGAGACATCGAGGAGATTACAATATAGAGTGTGCCATGGCGATGTTCTATTCACGTGAGATAAATGCATGTGTAACTCGTTAAGCACGTCATGAGCAGTCGACAGGCACAGCTGACACATATCGGCCCATATTCTCAGAGATAGCTTTGGAGTCGTTGTATTCACTTGCAACAACGTAGATGTTGTTGTAATGCAGCGATATGCCTCAGCTATAATCAAAGGCCGAAGGATTCTTAACCGGGTATACATGATCCTGTCCGCACATGTCAGCCCCATAAAAGACAATGCCTTACTCCTCAAACGCACCTTGCTCTCAGCACTCGGCTTTGAAGTTCAAAGCATGATTGAACCCTAGCGGTATCGCTGTTATCATCTATCAGGAGATGAGGTGGTAGTTCTTCGCAGAAGCGGTCGATTTCCATATTCAGCTCCAGAACCGTGCTGAGATCCTTTTCTAAGTTGATGGTGATGCCTTGTTTGGCTGGTCGGTAAATTTCAAAGGCTTGCAGCCTTTCGCGAATGTCTAAAAATTTGAGCACCCGCGCGAAAAATTCTAGACGTGAGGGAGTTCCTTCGGGTTGCTGTCCCTTTCCCGTTGCTGATAGATACTCATCGTCAATTGATGCCGGCACAGGCACAGGGGTGTCTCTAGGTATCGCAGTTGGACGACCAAAAGTGATCGAAGCCATCCTAATTGTGAGCGTTAAATAGATGTAATCCTCAAGAAAAAAGGAGATGCTTACCAATCTAAGTTCATGCAGCTGCACCACACCCGCCGGCGCATCTCTCGAGTCACCTGGCTGGTTTTGAGTGGCCCTTGCTCGGTAATGTGCAAGCCTATCGCCTGGGCAGACCGGACTGCAACACCAACAGTGTTCCAACAACGATCGGCAGATGTAGTGTATAAGAGATATGTGCCGCGTAGAAGGAGTAGTTGCACTATGGCCAGCGAAGAAGTATTGAGAGTATCAAGGGACACCAACCTTACGGAGCGTTTACAAAGCTCGTCTGACAGAAGTTCTCTTTCACTTTCATTCAAGGCTTCGTTCCGTTGAGAACCGATGGCCAATACGATGTTCAGTGTCGAGTAGAAGATGACTTCAGCGAGAGACTTGGTATGTAAAGATGGAACTGTTACTGGCTCCCACACCCGCTGATAGTCTGCTTCAAAACTTGGTCGGTGCAGAATTGGGAACAGAGGATGAAACAAATCCCAATAGCATTGAAGTAAAGAGTCCGCTGTCGTTCGTATTGGGAGTCGCAAATCATCAGCGCTATACTTGGTAGTAAATGGCTGACTTGGAACATAGCCAAGAGGCGTTGGAATAACTTGTGGAGTCTTTGGGCTGGGACCAACATTCTGAGCAGATGAGATGACAGTCGCGAGTTGTTGTGTAAATGCCGAGTTCGAAGGGGTTCCAAAGACAGGTTGATCCTCAGCTGCCTCGGATCCAGGAGTAAAGCCGGGCGTTAGAAGAGGAAGATGCCGGCCTGCCTGGGCATCGAGACCATTACTCCTGGCAACATACTCACGAGAGATGGCCAGGCTGGAATCATCCCAACCTCTCGTTTGGTTGAACGGCGAAGAAGTGGGGGGAATTTCACCACCTTCAAGCTTTGCAAGTCTTTTATCAAGATCTTCCAATGTCCTACTTAGATAAGTTTTCCGGAGAACACGATAGCGACTCAAGTGGACCTTGGATCCCTTGATATGTTAGACTCATGATTGACTTACAGGTTTGTGGGCGGCGCGGCTCTCTCCTGGTAACTACATGTCCTCTGCCAGCCTCTTAGAGTGCAGGATGTGCAATGTGGTCGCTTTCCGTCACAGCCTGTTTTACGAGCGCGACACGCGTTGCATGCTAACTGTGTTTTCCGACGCTTGTTTGGAGGTGTTTCCATGTTGTCCGTCAGTCGATATCATGTTCGCATGCCATTGATTTGTTGGTGTTTCGGAACCAAGTTGCGGGTTTTCCGAAGTAGCCGCACTTACGCAGTTTGTGGCTGAGTCATCACCGAAGGGCGCTCCGAATGTCCCCAGGCAGCTTCCGATGTCCCCGGCACCCCACTATGCTAACAACTCATCCTTAGAAAAGGCTGCATTGGTGTTGGCTCAAGGGGACGGGACCTCAACACCGAATGTCCCCGATATGCCTCAATCTTCATGTCAGATCAATATATCGGAAGTAGCCCTTTTAAAATACCTAATTATCTAAGTAGAGGTTCTCTAGTCTGATTTCTAGAATTAGAGTATATAAACCCGCATTCAGCACCATAATCTAGCCCGTCCACCCAAGTCCACACCTTCACATACCAAACGATAAACATCCAAGTTGAAAACGCACCAAGCCACTTATAATGGCGTCTCTTCTTCCTCGCTTTGAACGGCATGAGCTCACCTACAAAACTCTCGACAACACGCCGTTTCATGTTTCGACCCTCATCCCTAAATCGATCATCTCCTCGACGAAGACTTGCCCCATCCTCGTACACTTCCACGGAGGTGCTTTGATCCAGGGGGTGACCCTCGAGCCGGCCTTCCTGTCATCATGGTAAGCCTAACACCCGTCGGAAACTCATTTCCAACGTTGTAACAGTACCTAAGTATGCTATAATAGGATGCTAGAACTTGCCGAAAAGGTCGATGCTATCGTTATCGACCCTGCTTACAGACTGCTTCCGGAAGCCAGAGGTACTGATGTTCTGGATGATATTAAAGACTTCTGGGCTTGGGTACATACGTCTCTGCCTCAAGCCATATCTTCATTATACTCCAATCTCACCGTGGATCTCGAGCGGATTGGCGCTTGCGGTGAAAGTGCAGGGGGCTATCTGTCACTGCAGTCAGCGTTGCTTTTCCCAGAGTCCAAGATTCGTGTTGTCATGGCCCAGTACCCCAGCATGTATCCTGACTTGAAGGCGTACAACCAGCGTCTTGAATCAGCTACAGCTGAGGAGGACCAACTCATCACCGATTATACAGAGAACAACAAGGGCAAGATTAGACTTGGGTCAAAGTTCCCCTGGAAGCCTGAATTGATGTTAGCGATGGCAAATACGGGCCGTCATAGAGAAATGCTGGGTGATGATACCAGACTGGCGTTCGGGCACAGCTTGCGAATTGCGAAACAAGTACCGCCAATCTGGATCGCGCAAGGTGTTGATGACCATATCGTGAGTAGCCTTCGGAGCCTCAATACCCTTCCAAGCCCGAATAAAGACTAATACTAGATGAATAGACCCCCAAACCAGGCACAGATGAAATGATCGAGATGATCAAAGAGTTGCAACCGGCGGCGCCTTTTCTCTACAGTGTTCAACCAGGCGATCATGGCTTTGATAATGATCATGGTCTTGAGGAGCCTTGGGTTGCGGAAGCGATGAAATTTGTAACAAGTTACTGGCCTTGAAGCTTTTATGCCACTGTCGTAACTGGTGGATTGTAATAGCGATTAGGATAGAAGATATCTAAGATTGCAACCATTTCTCAACCAGGTGGTGGTCCACGTGATCTCCGGTTATTGATGCATAATGGGTTGTGACAGCTGGGCTATGCCGATAGGTTGAACAGGGATCGGTCGGCTGAGCGAACCACATCACCAACTTAACCGCCTTACCTGTCGCATCCCACAGACCAGAGCATTTACCTTCTCCAACCCATCTCTCTTTAATAGATAAAACATTCAGGCCAATTTGATATATTAATTGGCAGTTTGATCCTTTTCTTCAGACAGCGTACACGCCTGAGCTGCCCCGAGAGCGGGCTCTGCGAGTAGACAGACTTTCAGTGATTGGTGCTTAGAACAACTCACTCCGACCGCGGAACATCTCACTAACGGAGAAGAGTAGCGAACACAACCGACAATACGAAGAATTCTGACAGCACACTTGCCACTCTTTAGAAAGCCATGATGTCTCGCGAATCCAATCGTGCACGCAGCCCGCGATATGGCCTAGCACTCACATCAAAATATTCCGACCCGCCAAATCGAATCTCACGCAAATCATCCCAGGCTTACACATATCGATCACTTCGGGCTCCAAGCAAGTATATTAGATTATTATTCTTAAGCCCATCTAAATCCCACGATGGCTGTTCTGGGGCAGAGCTGTGCGGCGAACTCTTGACTTTCAGAACGGATCGAGCTCCAGCGTATGTAGCCTTATCGTATGCATGGGGCAATCCGGCAGCTTGTCATCGAATTACCATCGGTGCAAGAACGTTGCACATTACAGAAAATTTAGCGGTTGCCCTAGAGCATCTTCGCGAACATCACCAAACCCTAGTACTGTGGGTTGATGCAATTTGCATTGACCAAGCGAACCTTGCTGAGAAAAGCGCGCAAATTCAAATCATGGGACAAATCTTCACGTCTGCATCCACCGTACTCGCATGGATTGGCCCATCGAACGACAGAAGTGACGATATAATTCAATGGTTGGAAGACGGCGCAGGCTTGTTGGAACAAGCGCACCGAAACATACAGGAACTCGAACAATGGATAGGTGTTCCCTTGCATTATATGAGAGCATTTCTCAATCGACCTTGGTTTACTCGCGTGTGGGTCACACAAGAGGTTGCTTTGGGTCAAGAGGTCATCTTTATTTGTGGCAAAAAAGACGTCGGGAAGAATATGCTTATGCGTGGACTTCTTGTTGCATCCTCGGCTATCACGACAGTCACTAATGACTTCCTGCCATCCTATACTCTAAGGTTTAAGTCCATCTCGCCCATGCCCTTGGGTAGTTTCCTTGCCTTGAGATCAAGTGTCGTCAACATGCTGGGCTTCAACGGTGACCTGCATTGCTCGGATCCAAGAGACTTCGTCTTCAGTCTATTCGGTATTATCACAGACCTCCATGTCCACCACCTCGAGGTCGATTACATCAAGTCAGTTGAAGACGTTTTCACAGATTTCGCAATCGCTATCATCAAAATCGGAAGAATAAACATTTTAGAAGACGTATGGCGACTATCCTCAAAGTATCCTGAACTCCCATCCTGGGTGCCAGATTGGACGGATACACGCATCAGAATACTGAAGCGTATCGAGAAAGAATTTGATCTCCCCGCCCCGGGACCTACAATAGTCTTGTTAGACGAAGGAACTAGACTGCTTCAAGCCCACGCTCTTCTTGTTGATGAGATAAGATTCTTCAAGTATGGTACACAAAATACTACCCCAGAAGATATCTACCGATTCTTGGTCAACCTTAAGGAGACGGTTTGTTGCAATTCTGATCTTAGCAATCCGAGCATGATTGACAAGACAGTTTATGATTTATCAATCACCACCTGTCCAATATATTGGTATAGAATCAGGCCAAAAGATAAAGAGATTTACCAGTCATACCTTGCATTTTTAAACTTAGCCGCATCTACGGAGAGACTGAATGAAGTCAGCACTTGGGGGGAAGGTCAATTATACTTATCTTTGCTGCAACAAGATAAAAAGATTCCGTATCTGTTTACATCATCTTCCGAGGTCTTTGGCGTGGCACCCGATGAAGTTACAAGCGGAGACTTGTTGTGTCTAATTGCAGGATTGAGGAGTTTCTGGATCATTCGACAGGGATCAGGGGGCCATTTCCGTCTTATTAGCCCAGCACATGTATATGGCTACAAAGCTCCTGAGAAGGGAAATCGTGACATCAGGAAAATCACAATCTGCTAGATAGTAATTGCAACTATCAACATCCTTAGGACAACCAAATGCTTTTCATTGTGTGTTCTATGAGTAGATAATTATCCAGATATCGAGAAATATGCACAATCTCCAAGTAATCTAATGAATGGTGGTTTCTGCTGGCTGAATGAAAAGACGCTAGCCTTAAGATGGCGAAGTTATTCCCTAACCATGATATAGGAAGTGGCGTTTGGAAGAGAGAGGGCTTCACGTGAGCTGCTTCACATAAGCTTTAGCCTAGTGCTGTAGCAAGCCTCCGCTTCTTCTAACCACCATCTACAAGACTGATCGCTTCGCGATCTATGATACCATGACATCCTCAGATGTCCCCTCTCTATCTTCAAAAATTCGTAATAAAAACAGCAGATCAGATAAGGGCCTCTACGAGCCATTTACCCGCGACCGACAGATTCGCCTCGTCAAAATCAACCATGATGGCTCAAAACCTCATGGTATCAACCTATCTTTAGTAATGGTGGACCTCGAAACAGCGCCACTATTTCACGCCTTGTCTTATACTTGGGGTCCTGCCGAGTTCGACCCGACGAAGGAACCCCAAGCAGAAAGGAAAGAGACGAGCTACACCTTACATTGCAATAACGGAGAAGTGACGATCCGTGAGAATCTCTTTCACTTCTTGCAACGGATCTGCAAAAGCAAGGCTCAAGGCATTCCACACTGGATAGATGCATTATGTATAAATCAAGACAACTTAGAGGAGCGCTCTAATCAAGTTGCCTTCATGGGAGACATTTATATGGCAGCTACAAAAGTTGTCGTGTGGCTAGGCTCATCTGATCCTCATTCAGATGCATTATGGGTGAGCAACGAATTCTGCCCAAAGTTTGTCAACATGGTTAGCCATCTAGTCGTGCGAGATGGTGATGCAGGCATGTTCAACTTTCTACGACAAGAGAATCCGCTCCTCGTAAACCCTATAATTGTTGAACAATTGGGTGCAGGTGTCTGTCAGCGCTGGCAAACATGCTGGCGCACCTTCTTCGAGTTCATAGCAACTCGCCAATGGTTCTGCCGTGGCTGGGTCATACAAGAAGTCGTCTTAAAACGTGGCAATCTCGTACACGCTTTAAGCGGAGGTCATGAGCTCGACTGGACGGCGATGATGACATTTGTAGAGATGTTTACCAAACTTGGTTGGCAAAGGCAACTCGGAAAAGACAATTGGAAAGAAAACAAATATCTTCACCTAGCGATCCGAGCTGTACAATCATTTTTCGACATCGAAATTCCTCTACAATATGGTCAAATTGGCAGACGACAACTTCTCCTTGATCCAGCCCTCGAGCCCTCATGGAACTTGTTTGGGGTGCCATCAGGACAGCAATCGTGGTACATCTTACTCTCATCTTTTGTGGGAGCTACGAGCCGGGTTGAGGTCACTGACCCAAGGGACCACATATACTCCTGGATAGGTCTTGCTTCACTCGCCCTGCCTGTTAGGGAGACTAGTCCAATTGTGCCAAATTACAATGCTCCTGTCGAGGAGATTTTCACAGATTTCACGTCAATCCTCTTGAAGAATATACCGCTTCTATACCCTTTGTACACGATTCAGGATCCTGCGCGACGCCAGTTGTCCCGTCTCCCCTCCTGGGTGCCAGACTATTCCAGCATGAAGAACTTCAAGAAATACAATCTCATGTCCAATGATCCAACAGTATTCAAGAATCCGCCTAGGTCCCATAATCCCATATTTTTCGATGCACCTCGGACTAGCTTATTCAAAACGTACCGGCCAATGGTAGCGGGCGCAGTGCTCACGCTCTTTGGCATGCAAATCGACCGGATCACGCATTTCGGGTTAGATATCGAGAACGAGTCCTTTATGTCATCCATCCTTGACTTGTGCATAAATCTAGGCTTAGAGGAATCTACCTACCAGTTGACTGGAGAGCATCGCGCCCAGGCGGTCTTGCGCACATTAGTTGCAAATACATTACCCATCGGGGTCGAAGAGCCCGACCAAGTCGAAGCTGTTCGAGACTGGATCCTCCACTACTGTTTATATCTTCTCGTGCGGCTTCCTAAAGATGGCGACGACTCGATCTTATATAGACGGTTACGGGAGCAGCTGAAAGAAGTCTCCAAGTCCCACCACCTCCAGACTTATCTGCCTACCTTTGAGGAGGCTAACGGGGGTAGCCAAACGAAATCGGATAGATGGCGCAGCAGACCTATGAGTCTCCCAATGGGTTTGTTCTGTGGCGACCGTGCTCTGTACCAGACACAAAAAGGATATATCGGACTGGGGCCGAAGTCGCTCATGGGGGCCGATGAAGTCTGGCTTCTCACAGGCTCAAAAGTTCCTTTCATCCTCCGCCAAAGTCTCAATAAGAGCGATTACTACGTTATTGGTGAGGCATATCTTCACGGAGCTATGCATGGAGAATTAATGACAGATGAGGCCGCAAAATTGATTCAACCCGTGAGATGTATATGACGAGGATCTACCTTGATAAGGCAGACTGGGGGGATCATCCAAAACATTTGACAAGTCACGAATGAGAAGCTTCCAGGTTTCGTAAGGCGCAAAAGACCATGCAGGTGGGTATTGGTTATCTATCAAACTCCAATGCACCGAATATGCCCAAACTTTTATCCAAGCCTTTGTTGCATCGTCTCCCAATGCATCATATGTGCGGCATACATTCAACATTCCTTTTCATACAGGCCTGCCTACGAGCCTCAAACAGTGGTATCAGGGTCAGTCTTCTCTTGAAGAGCATTGGGCTGCTGATTGCCCTGGTACTTGGAGCGTGCGATGTTGTTCCACATGTCTTCCTCCTTGTCAAGCTTGTGGAAGCAGAGCCAGAACAGGGCACCACCCACGGCAGCAATGATAGCAACGGTGCTATAGTTCCAGACCAGCAGGGGATCGATGGAGAGAGGGGTGAAAGCCTGGCCGATGGCGCTGGAGATGGCACTCATGAAGAGATTGACGGACATGACAAGAGATTTCATGTTCTCGGGTGCCTTGGAGAAGGCATACTCGTAGGAGGTGGTGTTGGTGAAGATCTCGCTGATACCGACAAGGACATAGGGGATCGACTGCACCCACACGTTGATTGGGGCAGTGCACTGGTCAACAGTGGTACGATCGCCGCAAGGGGACATCTTGTAGATGTAGTGCTGGGTGACAGCGGCGCAGACCATGGAAAGGGCGGAGAAGGCGAATCCAAGAGCCATACGCTTCACTGGCGTGAATGCAATACCCATCTTGCGGAGACCAGGATAGACGAACTTGTCCAGGATGGGGATGAGAATGACGATCGAGATAGGGTTTAGATTCTGAATGATATCGTTGGGAACACCGTGCAGCTCCATAGTGGCAGCCTGGGAGGTCAGGTTGCCAGTCATTTGGTTGTAAGCCAGGAAGAAGATGGGCAGGAAAAGGAAGACTTTGCAGGCCTTGAGACCGCGGCGAACCTCGTCAACCCAGGCATCATCGTAAGTCATCCAATTAGGTCGCTGTTGGACAGGCACGTTGGATGGGCGGGCCACATCCCAGGTGAATTCCCTCTTCAGTTTGGCGAAGTTGAGTGACCACTTGCCCTTCATGACGTAGCCGAACATGTGGAAGAACTTGGAGAGCACGGATCCAGTCGGCGGGTTGAGGGTGTAGTTCTTCTTGTTGATTGCAAGGATGATGGGCGCGATGAAGAATAGAACAGTTGGCAGCAGGAATGCTAGCCAGAAACCGACATATTTCTCAACATAGACCATGGCGATTTGACCGGTCAGAGAGCCGACGTTGATGGCAAAGTAGAAATAGAGGAAGATCCGGGTGTTGGTGACAGCAGGGTCGATGATGACGCGCTCGCCGCTCTTCAGGGTCTCGACACGAATGCGACGGTCGTGGTTTTGCTCAGCCAGCAGGGGAGAAATGTTGGCCTTGAAGAAACCAGTACCAACACCAAGCGTCAGGAGACCAATGATCAGCGCTGCCAAAGCAGATTTGCTGTGCACGATCACACCTGGGGCAGCTGCCGCGACAAGGATGACGTGGGCAATGATAGAAACGCCAATAGCAATATGGATGGTCTTGTAACGACCAAGCTTAGCATCGGCGATATATGCACTAAACAGTCTCGTTAATGACTGGAGAGAAGCTTCGGAAACGATGCGTAAAACCTACCCGAGAAGCGGCATGAGGTAGGCAAAGAACTGATTGAACAGAACCAGGCCTGTGGCTGCTTGCTGGCCCATACCTAGGGCACCAGACTGGCCCGAATGGCCAGCACCGGTATTGTGGCCAGGTCCATCAGGAAGAGGCCACTGTATGAAGTTGGTGTACAGGATTGTCGAACCGTAGTACGAGAATCTTTCAGCCAACTCGCAGAATGCGATGGAGTAAGCAGACCACTTAATCTTGCCAGAAACTCTGCGCAGTGTGTGCATCTCCTCCTCGGTCGGCAGGTCGTCAAATTCTGTAGCGGTGCCGTCGTCCGAAGGCGACAGCTCTGCCTCTTTCGTAATGTCGATGTGGCCCTCGCCAGCTTTGACTTCCGCAACAGTACCCAAGGGCGCGGCGGCGACGGGGACACCTTCCCTAGTCAGCTCGGCCTGGGCAATTTCAGCCCGGTCAAGGTTCACCGTTTGGCTCATGTTGAAAATGAGACGACAATAGCGGCAAGGGTGTACGAGTGTGGTTGAGTCCGAGCAAGAAGCGAGAGTGCTGGAGGGCAACGATGGAGGTCAAAGGGACAGCATACTTTAAGTAGAAGGCGGGATAGCTGGGGAGGTGTTGCCCTCGGTGTACACCGAAGATCAATGCCTCATGTGGGAGCATTTACTCTGGAGGAACGGGGCGATATTGCATCCAGACTGCCGCAAAGTGCTACTCAAATTCGCCTCCACCCGAAGATACGGGTTGAGCCAACGCTGGTTGGTCCTTTTGTGGCCTTGGCGATGGTGTGTTCATGACAGGCGTGTCCAGGAGCCAGCTGCGGTTTCGAGTGCTCTGCTCACCTTCCATATCGAGATGACGACTCGTGGAGAAGATGGCGATGTGGCTCTGAGGTGGACCGCATACAGGCGCTAGGACAGACTAAGCATTGATCTTGAGAGACTCTCGCCGTCGTAGTGCCGGACCCGTTCCGTTGCGCAATATGATTTGCAGTCGTAGTGTCGATCGGCGAGTCAGCGGCTTACCCTAATGCGACACGCAGGCCGAACTCCGTACAAGCCGCACACTTTCAGGAGCGTATTGCAGGGGATTGGCCTGTATCTCCAGCTCATTCCCGTTTCTGCTGACCTTCTAGAAGGTCTATGGAAGGCACTTGCCTTCTTCTGGATAGAAGTACGGGGATTTGTCACCTAGCACGACGGTCCTAGAGAAGTGACAGGGTGGATTACAGTGGACTATTCCTAGGGAGGGCCAAGGATTGGGGGTGTGGGAGCTATGGCGAGATATGAAGAAACCTCGAGTGTTTCCGGCTCTGGCAAAAACGACTGTCTTGGTCAGGAGCCGCCGAGTAAGACTCAGATTCGATTGACGATGGACGCATGCCATACACGGTTGTGTGTTTGATGGATTAGCACTGATCCAAGGAGAGTATGATGCCAGACCGCACACCAGAACCGTTGAGTTAGTCCTGTGGCGACAGGGAATCAAGGCAGTAACCCGTGAATTACGAGGAGAGATAACAGAGGTGAAGGCGTGCAATCACTATGGCACGTCCGTCGGCGAGTCCTAGGGCGTGAAAATTATCGCAGCTGTAGGGGCAATTTCCAGGTTGTTCGCTCGACCGAACTACTCGTAAATGCCTCGAAATGTAAGATTGTTTGGACCCAAGAAACCACCACCATACGCCAGCTGTTTTTATGGTATGAGCTAGCTGTATACGGGCACACCAGAAGGGCTCTAATACGCCGAACTCTCCTGCTTCGAGGAGAAAGGCCTCCTTTGAGGAGCAGAGAGGCGGCCTGGAATGCCAACTCGAAGTGGCCCTAACTCAGGGCAACTTTCCAATCAAGAGCATGGGTGCTTCACTGGAATGGGAGGCTCGGGGCAATTGACAGCTAGTAATGACGAATCAAGGGCAATTAACGTTACATCGAGTCGTGCCGGCCAACCAGAGCGTGCTGCCAGCATCCAACTAGACCTGAGCAAGACAGGGAGCATTCAGAGTTTTACCTAATGGATGGAAGATGTCATATTTAAGCCTGCGTCTGCATGTGTACTGGACCATCACTAACCGGAAACAAGCAAGGGCTGTGGCGACGGCGCTTTGCCTGGTAGAGCAAGTTGCACTGCGGCTCAACGGCAGGTAAAAGTTCCGACGCGTGCGCCATTATAGTGCAGCCGAGGTTCCTCGACAGGCTTGATTGATTACCTTCCCTCACTCTTCACGATTCAGACCCAATCAGGGATGGGCGCGCATTGTGATGGAACATCGCCTTGTCCGACCTCCATGCCCAATATCCAGACAAGTGGATTGTGTGGTACCGTGTGTTTCTAGCGGAAAGACTCGAGGGTCCGGGGCTCCTCAGATTTGCGGGGAAAGCGATCAATCAAATAATACCAAATGACGAAAACAACGGTATCTCCATCTGGTGGCTGGGTTCTCGTGACAGTACACTTTGATTAGAGAGCAGCTGCTCGAACTACCTTGACCCCGTCTGCGATCTTCCAAAGAGTTGCCCCAGAAACATCTTTTACCTCGAGATATGGCTCTGCATTCGAAAAGACTACTGTCTTGCCCGTCCCCGCCGTACCAGAATGCCAGAGCGGTCCAACACTGTCGGACTCGACCAAGTTGCCGTCGCCCTGGAACTTCAAGACGCAGCTCGATCCATCCGCGCCGCAATTGGACGACGTGACCGAACTCACAAACTTGCGCGTCCATACTCCGCCCGTCGTGTCATATCCTAGAAGATTGGCGTCGTTTTGGTTTTGGACATGGAACATATGGAGATCTACAACGGTGCTCGTCTTGCCGGTGACAGTCAACGCGCCTGGCTCGAAGGAGGCAGAGTCCGGCAGTGGGTGCTGGAGACATAGCCACACGGTCGCGTTTGTCGGCACATTGTTGAAATCTGGTTGCAACGTCGACGGCCCTGTGATGCTCGGCGCATAGACGATGAGCTCCTGGTTCGCGTCGAATGAGCTTTGCACCTGAGCCGAGCAGCTTGATGGATCAGCGAAAGTTGAGCTCGGTGAAGTCACTTGTGAGACGTCATTCCCAGTCACGGTGAGACCATTCTTCCATTCGTTGATGACGATTGAGAAACCAAGGTTCCCGATGAACCTGTTGTTCGTCACAGTCGTTGGCCCAAAGTACGTAAGTGGCTGGTTGAACGACCAGACTTTACTGCCGATGGCTATGCCTAGGTTGAAGAAGCCTTTGCCTTTGCCAATGATCGTGTTGTCCGAGACCACTACGTTGGAATAGTTGCCTCCGAATGAGGCATCCACCATATTGAATCCGCCAAAACAAAGGTCAGTGTCGGACGTTGTGATAGTGTTGCCTGTAAAGCGTGAACCTGGCGAGCCAAAAATAACGATGCCACCGTCTGTGGCCCCAGTGATCTTATAAGCGATATCAGAACTTGCTGTTTCTCTCTATATGCGTGGTGTCCAGGATGTCTTGACTTACGTTGTTCTGAGTTACTATGCTATTGGCACATTCGAAGCTGATGCCATCTGCCCACTTCGCATTGCCGTTGGCGTCTTTGCCTTCATTGCCGCATGGCCCAACGATGTTGTTTGCTACGATACCACCTTGGCAGGGACTGTCGGGTATCCCACTGTTGATATAATGCAGACAACTCCAACTCCGAGTGTTTTTGATGACACTGTTGTTCACCACTTGCCCAGAGGCAGCTCCACCAAGTTCAATGAGTGCGTCAGACCCAAGGATGCCAGCATTGGCTCGATTGCCGTCGACTTGGATATTGCGGATGCTCACGCCAGACGTGCCCCGGCCCCAAATGGCGCTTCCAACAGTACTGCCAGGAGCAATAATCACGGTCGCTCTGGTACTATCAGTAGGATAGCCTTCTGTAGAAAGCTCCTGGTTTGCTGCTGTGTATTCAATGCCAGCCGTTGTGATTGTAATCACGGCATTCTTACAGAGCTGGACAACGGCACCCGTGCCCCCGGCTTGTAGCGCTGCATTGACCGTAGCGGCGGAGCCGGAAGGGATGCAAGCCGCCGTAGCACGGGCAATGAGGACCGCCGAAAGGAAGAGAACGCGCATATTGATTGGGGCGACTCGGTGTATTTAGGGATCTATGACCACGCTACATAAACAGCTTGACCTGCTGCTGTGCGGCATATTTATGTAGAATCATATTGTAAGACACACCACAAGATCTTGAAAAATTGAGTAGAAGTGTCAAACCTCCGAATTTGTGGCATGCTTCAACGTCCCTGCTCATTTTTGGCCCCTAATCTGCAGCTGAAAGAAAAATGTCAGCAATCCAGCTCTTTTCAGGCGTCCTGCGCGAGACCTCAGTGCATTGGCAGGGCATATCCACTGCTAAGCCCCCGCAAAACCACTTCTTTAGGACAGACTAACTTGCTACAAACAGGGTCTTGATACTAATTTTAGAGCGAAAGTCAATCAACCTCGCGACAGTACGACATTATTCTAACCTTTGATGCTAGCATCTTATAAAAGACTACAGCGGATCCATTCTACATTCATCATGACTAATTGCGTTGTTCAATAAATTCTCATGTAATAGCACACAAACATATCCCGGTATTGTTGTGACTTGGCCCCCAACCACGAATTAAGGGGGCCGTATGTATTCAATGTGAACCCCAGCTTCATCAGCAGTGTAACAGTCAAGCGTTACATTTAGTCCATCTTGCTAGACTATCACTCGATGAGGCTTATTGTTTTAGTGTCATGAGTTTCGACCATGCAAACAGAGTAGCCATCCATCCAGGAAATCGATCCGATTCAACGGGCCACATTCGTCTAGATTTACTATCAAACTGACACATAAAGACACAGGAAAGTCCATTTATAGCAAGTATGTTCAATTTGCGGTGAATACAGGAGATGCTCTATATTTCCTTGTAAAGTGGAACCAGCTCGATGACAAGAGGCCAGTCGTCCACAAAGCTTCCTTTGATTGTTTTCGCTCGGGAGCTAGAGCAGAGAGAAAAGTTGACAAATACATCCGGTGTCTCCAAGGAAGCGGACGAGGACTTATTTAAGACAAGTGAGAATACGCGCTTCGCATTGTGGCTCTTCTCGGGTACTTGTAGCGCCCATTCGTGTGCCTTGTGTCCATCTGAGGAGGTTGCTTCTTGGCCAGCTTCTCCGTACAACGCCGCGTAAGTCTGCTTGGCGGTTTCGAAGAGATTCGGGTTCTTAATGAAGACGGACACGCCGTGCACGCCAGTAACTCCGCTGGGATGCTCAACATTCTCAGGAATATGGTGAGGAACGCGAAGAGGTCTCGGTGTGCGATCCAGACACCAGAATGGCAGCTCGCCTCCAATGAATTTTTCGTCACCCTTAGTTGAAGAGAAGGCCGGAGATGATGTCGACCATTTCAGCTCCGTTCCCGCTGGAGTGATCCTCCCACCTGCTACGAGATCACTATACTCGATCCCACTCTTCGCAGCCCCGATTCTTTCTTGAATGATGCGAAAGGCTGCTTCAGGCTCAGGGCTTGACTCTGCTTCTGAGAGTAGTGGGCTGCTTCCCCGAAGCGTGTTTGCCCAGTCAACGATGTGTCCCTCGGGTCTGCGACCCCACTTATGAGACTTTCTCTCTTCTTTCTTTCCTGGGACAAAGGCTATTATCTCGATGTAAACACCGTCTTGAAAAAGGATCAGTTTGTTCTCTGTAACACCATCAGCATGACGGCCGCCAGTCAAGACCGTAAATGCATCAGGGACCCATTGCGGCAAGTTAACGAGCTTCTCGTGGGGCACAAGAAGAACTATGTGATCAAGGATCGGAACGGGATTCGACACCATGTTTGTTAGACTTGTATAGCTATGTTGAACAGATGTGGGCAATATGCTTTGAAAGATGCAAAGAGTTGCGGAGAGTTCAAAGTGGTGGAGATGATGAGTCCGATCGGTGTTCTTGCGGCATTCCACGTGACACCGGTTGTGGACCTCATCCGTTAGACTGACCATGGTCAACTTGAAACTTCACTCGTATTGTTACGGGATTTTTTTTGAAATAATTCAGACGCACACGTGCACGGCTGTATTTTTCTATCTGGATTGACTATATTCATGTGGCAACTACAAGAAAAAGTCAAATACCCTCTTCCATCCACAGATGGCGCCCACTCGCGCAGCTCTAGCAGCATGGATATCCATTTGCCAACGGATCCAATGTAAACTTCAAAGAAGCTAAGAGCGGCATGCAACTCGCAAGTTTCATGCCTCACAAGTTAATCTGGAAGCAAAAGAGCCTAGATCTCAATCTGCAGAACGAATATGATGTATCGCAGGTGCCACAGGCCAGAGCCTCGTGGTCAGGAGGCAGAACTTCATTTGCGCAATCTGTACTCCAAAGGTCTTTGAATCCCGTCGTTAGAGGACTTCTTCGATTTCTCATCCTTCCAATGCTCGAAGGGCTTCTCGCCGTCCTTTTCAGGCCACAAGGACCGAGTATGCGCATAGTCGTCGTACAGTTCCTCGTCCAAGCGCTTGCAGACCACTAAAGCCTCCTCTGTAGTCATACCTCGCTCGCGAGGAAGGTCCCAGTCGACAATAATGGGGATAGCAGTGTGAAGAATTGGGTTGGGCGGGGACTCGACGAGGAGCCTCTTCAAATTTGGGTGCACTATGTAGTTGAGATTCTCCAACGCAGCATTGTAAAGCATCCTGCGGTTGCGTGTGATGATTCGGCTCTTCACTGGCCCTATTTTGCATCATCCAGTTAGTACAAACGTGCAGACAAGTACCCGGAAGAACATTTACAAGTCGCTCGGTACTCGTCAATGAGATCGCACAAGATCCTGGCATTTGGCGACATGTTCGCGTCGTCCTCTCTGTTTGGACAATCGCGCAGGTAAGAAGCGCGGGCTTTATCGAGATAGCTATGCAGGAGAGACACGATAGAGCCTTCCCACACCAGGAATTGGCTTATCACAGTCTTTATATTCGGCATGTCGCGGAAATCCTTCAGATATACGAGAAGGCGGGCGAAGACGATGTAGTTTTTCTCCATGGTCTCTGTGACGCCCTCGCCCTTGTTGGTTAGGTAACGCGAGTCCTTCCAGTTGAAAATGGCATTGCGAGCACGGGAGCCGCGGAGGTGAGAACGGAATCTGAAACCGTCCACCCACTCAGGTGAACCGCGACGAACAGGTCCGTGTGGCTTCTGAGAGAAGAATGACTTGTCGGTCATGGTGTACCAACGGGTCGGGAATATCCTCGGTCAGATCTGGCAGCGTCTACCTGACATGTACGTTGGGAATGTGATTTCGGCAACGGATGGAAAAGAAATCAAGGGAAGAAGAAGAAAATCGAGGTGAGAGGTGGCTGACGTGGTGCGAGAGGCAGCCGCGGTTGCTGGGTTGGTATTATGAATATCATCCGAAGTTGGATGCCCCGTCGACCGTCCCACAACTTTGGGCACCCCTTATATGTTCAAATTAGGCCCCATTCTCAACAGATGAGATGGGGTAGCTAGTATACAAGTACAAACTTTCACAGCCAGTTGTACTACCCCAAACAAGGCACGCCTGGGGGAGACACCCTTAGTTCGATTCCGAGAAAGGGCATGACCTTGGGTCAACTGCCTGTCTCATCAAATATTTTTTTTTTTTTTGAATGCCTAGGCTATCCATCATTGACATTTTGCCATTTAATTATATCTTTTTCTGCCTGTTAAAAGGGAAGTGTGGCGAGGCAGCGTAATATGTCTAGGCATGGTACGTTCGAACTACCTTGAAGATTTCCCACGCAGATCCCAAGAGAGGCACTATCCGCAAATAACAATGAGGTTCATTCCTTGTGCTCAAGACTACATGACAAGAACTGCTCCCCTCGGTCGGTACGCACATCTCATGCTGCAAAACTCATGGCCAAGACATCGCAATTTGATACTGCCATAATTATTGTACAGGCTTGCCCTCTGCAAGGACGGACCAATCTTACGACTCGAGACAATTAACGAGAGATTCAGCTATAGCTGTCGCTTTTCCTGAACAACATCACTCAAACAAGAGGCCACACATTAGAGCCAAAACGGGCAAGCGCCAGTACCCAAAGTAAACCGCCGTCTATGATATCCCGATACACCCCACTTAACCAGCAGGTTTTTTCCCTACACATAAACTCCTTGTGTCATCGGAAGCGTAATCGTCTCAGTGTGCTAGTGTTAATGTTAGAAGTAGAACTGTTGCTGTGGTGGCTGGCCTGGGGGTGGTTGGGCCAGGAAGTCGAAGTTCATGGAGTCCATGCCGGTGTTCCAAGGGTCCGGAGATTCTGTAACGAGTAAAGTTAGACTCTGCACCTGGTGGTAGCTAATGGAAGCCCACTCACCCCAGAAAATGGAATCGTAGAGATCCATAGGCTCGATGTAGGTGGACGGATCGATTGAGCCTAGGTCGGGAACTGGTAGACCTGGCTGGTTCGCATCGGGAATGAACGGCATGTTGCTAGGTTTTGTTAGCAGGGAACTGGAGGGAATGAATGTGGATGCAGGGAAGGTGCCATTGTCGCAATGGCTACAAAGCCATGATGACTTACCCAGAGAAATCCTGCAGTCCGTTGCCATTCTGCATCTCAGCCATTGCCAGGGCGGCATCCTGGTGGGGATCGAGCGTTTGCATATTATTGCGGAAAGCAATCTTCTGCGTATCTTGGCCATTCATGCCCATAGCAGCCAGTTGTCCCATATTCATCGGGGTTCGCGTCCCGGATCGCTTCCCATCAATCTCTTGCTTTAGGGGTCCCACAATGCTGCCATGATCATAGATGTTCTTGAGTGCCGTGAGAGCTCTTGATAGCGGTCCAGAAAGCTCGATATCTTTGTCCGTCTTATGAATATGTGGGGCCGGCGACGGCTGTTCCTTGGCTGCGGTGGCCGAGAGGGCCGAGATGAGATCCCCTTGCAGCTGCCGGACCTCGGGATCCGTCTTCGTCTCATCAAGCAGACCGAGGAGAACCGCGGATGATAAGCCGTGATATGTGAAGGCCCACGATCTGGTGGGGATGACGGACAGCTGGTGCATGGCGAGGAACATGCGGACGGTCTCCGTGAGGTTCTCCTTGCACTTATCGGCAAGATACTGCCTCTGCTTCGTGTCTAATTGGTTGCCATCGCCCTTGCGCAGGGCGGGACGGCAACACACAGAGATGACGAAAGATGTGTGCAATCGAATGGCGAAGTACTGTAGACGATCCATCGCTGATTTGCAGGCCTCCTTAGAGCGGAGTTGTGGTACCACCTTCACGCGAATAGACTCGACGGCTTCAGAATTATGTAACATCTGGGCATATGTCTGCATGGCCAGTGCGTCTGGGTTGAGGCGTTGTGAGATGATCTCGCAGAGCACGTACATGGCCTCCAGGTATCCCCAGCCAATGGTTTCTGCTGTTGGTGACAAGGGCATGGGGCAACATGGAATGTTTGTCATGGGTGAGCTATCGACTGGTCAACTTATGAGGCGGAAAACGTGGCATCAGGAGTACTGACCGATCGAAAGAGAGGGAAGTAAGGGTATCATGCCACAAGCAACACCACCTAAAAGTGATTAGCCAACGGCGAACGCGGAACGGTATATGCAGTCGACCTACCAGAGCTTCCTCCTAACCAGATCCTTCTTCTGTGCTTCCGGATCGCTATTGAACGGGGGCGTACGATGTAGCCCCAAAGACTGCGCAAGCCGACATGTCAAGCCAAGCAATGCCCACGAGGCCTCTGCTTTCATATCATTGAGAAGTACAAAGCTTGTCATTAAAAGGGCTTGGATCGAGTCGAAATTGGGTCGGAGCAGGAAATTCCCGACGCGAAGAAAGTGGAATGAGATCTGGATGTACTTCTGGCAATCCTTGGTCCTTATATGATAAGGTGAGTCGTGATACTGCGATCCGACGGCGAGGACAGCGAAAAGGATGGCGAGCCATGATGCCGAGACTGGCTTTGAGGACCTAGCATCCGAGTTCAAGCGAGCATTTTTGGCACGTTCCTCCAGATAGATCATCAAGCGACTCTCGAGGTCACCGATATCGATGACGAAGCCCCAAAATAATTGCGGGACTTCCTTGTATGTGCGGAAGAGCCTGTAGCGAGGGTCAACATGATGAAATCACTCAAGAAGCAGAAAATCAAAGGGGACCAGGTCCAGAGCGAAGAGACCGTGAACATACTTCATCACCTCACGGTCGGACGGTAGCTCAGACGAGATGTCATGAGTAAGCCTCTCCAAATGTCTCTGCGACATCAGCGGGAAAGGCGCCGAGTTATCGAGACCTAGAATAGAGCGCATGTCCTGGCGAATGTGTTCGACACCCTCTGAGGGACCATTGGGAGAGGCTTGCTCCCTCAGCAGCGCGGGGATGCTGTTCTGGCCGAGATATCGCGAGACCTCGGCGGGCTCGGAATCGACTGTGTCTCCCGGTGAGAAAGTCAGCTGCACGGCAGTCAAAGGTGCCGGCTTACCAAATGCGCGGATTGCCTCCGGCTTGGGTTCGTTGCTGTTCTCTCGCGTGTCAATGTCGTCGGGTGAGTGGGCTCTCTTCTTGCCGTGCACCGTGCTCTCAGAGGCAACGGAGCCGTTCTTGCCGGAGCGGTTGGGCTTGTACGAGCACAGCTGCGGGTGCTCGCGCTTGACGCAGTTCTCGCAGGGCTGCTTGTTGTCACACTTCACCTTGCGCTGGCGACATGGCCAGCAGGCGGTGCCTGTAGGTCAATGACGGTGAGCTGGGATCTCAAATGCAAGCCACATATAAGACCAATTGGGGGGGCCAGCCAGGTGGTGATGAGCCATTGATATCCTCGGTTAAGCAGAGAGAAGACTTTGAGACACAATGAAAAGTTGAGCGACATACCATAGCGCACCTTACGATGCGAGTGGATGATGCGACTGGCCTCCTCCGGGGTCAGATCCTCCAGGTTCGTCGGGCTCTCATGCTGGTCCGCCATGGCGGCAGCCGCAGACGCACTCACGGGTATCTGCTGCAAAGCAGACCCCGAACGATGTCGCGCAGAGCAGAGCAGAGCAGAGCAGAGCAGACTATGACTGGTGGGGTGGGAGCAGACAGAGCCTCACAAAGTGTGGAGCTACAGATGCCGACGCCTCAGTCCAGTCCAGTCCGGTCCAGTCCAGTCTGGTCCAGCTCCAGACAAACAGACAGCCAGACAGACACAGACACAGACAAGCAGCGGTGGGTGTGCCTGCGTATGTAATGTCGGTAGTTGGATGCTGTGACAGCCAACCAGGAGGTATGACAATCGTATCAGGGAGCTGTGGATTAAGGTCGTTCCAGTTAGTCAGGTCGATTGATTGTGCCGTGCAGTCGGGACAATCTGACAGAGACTGTGACAGGTGAGAGGTGTCAGAACACCGATAGAAATCCGAATGCCCTCTGCCGCTGGCCCGCTCTTCTGGTGAGGGACCCCCGAGAGATTCTTAGTGCCTGGCCCTGGAAAGGTGGGGAACCTGCGCCGAAAGAGGGGTGGCGGGATTTGAAGGCTTAGAGGCCACCTGCAGCCCTGCAGCGGTGAATACGCAGCGAGCTATAAACATCCGATGCGCTTACTGAAATGCGTCGTGTACTCTCTGCCATTACATTGCTTTACTGCGTCTTCCAAGATCTCGAGTGTAACTTTTCCCACTCATCCCGTCTGTCCGGGCGTGCCGAACTCGATGGCCAAAACGGCACCCGGAACGGGGACGAGATGAGTCAGCGCCGGAAGGCTCCACCTGTGGCGCAGAGAAAGAAGCTTTGCTGTGCAGGTGTGGCTAGTGATAGCGGATCAACAGCCATTCCGATCATCTGTGGGTCAGCCTTGGCACTAAGCCAGATAGGGACGTAGTCTATTCAAGATCCCTTACTCGAGGTCTCAACTTAGCTCCATCTTAGCTCCATCTCTTCTAATCACTCGCAAGACGTGTCTTGCGCGGTCAAACGGCGCTTTCGTCCATCCAGTCACAATTGCTTCGCTTATTGAAGCATAGATACGGCTTTGGATACACGACTGGCTTTTTGCTGTCTTGGCAAGTTTGGATTGCTCTCATTTGCTGGTGAGGCGAGCATCGCGAGGTGATTGGTGTCCGTTATGGACAGGCATTTGTCTTACCGTGTGGTCCGCCGCCGGCCTCATTCGCTGGCACTTTAGCCAGTCCGCAACGACCCACCTCTCCCGGTTGGCGTATCCCAGCCAGGAATCGGGAATTGTCGCTAACCAGCCATTCTCCGTCCGAGCCGGCCCTACGACTCGGCGGCTCCCCTCCAGCCACCATGGCCGGCATGCCCTTCCAATCCAATCCCACTACGCCCAAGAAGAAAGATCCACGAGGGCTCGACCAGCTCATTGATGGAATCAACAAAGACTATGGCCTTGACATTCCAACATCAGATCCTCTTATTTCCCCCAGGACAGCTCGGGCATTGGGAAGAAATGGGCCAGAGGATGTGATACACATACGAAAAGGACTACACCGCGTTTTCTTCAGGAAAGATGGCAATCCCATCCCGAAAATACTTGAGGAATTCAATCGCGAGGCTATAGCTGCCCTCGGTTCTTGCCGCACCGGCTTGGATAAATGGCTCAAACAACCTCAAGAGGCAAGAGCAAAAACACCCCGGGAGAAACAAGTACTGGAGTCTCTGCTCTTGAAAATTCTGGATCAAGCAGCTCCAGCTCCTACTGGGACAGCAAAGCGGCTATTTCGCCGTGCTCAAACTGGCCCTGCCGCTTATGCAGATCAATCTCGCAATTCAGCGCAAGAAGAGCAGCACGAGCTTTCTATAACAGCTCCCAGTACCCAGGTAAAGAGACCGTCTGACGACTGGTCTAGCGACTCGTCCTCGAGCAAGAGGGTCAAAGGGCTCGTCAAGACCTTGGAACGTCCGAGATCCGCTGCGAGTGTTCTCGACTCAGTGCCAGTTCGCACAAAAGAAGGGCCTTCCGGGCAGGACAACAGCAGTTCTCTCTATGTTTCCCTTTCAGCAAACACTAGCAAGACTTCTTTCAGGTCTGACATCTTCTCCGGCCCAGACGATGACTCCCGGTCTAGCTCTCAAACAACGTTTGAAGGTATCTCACAGGAACTAAAACAAGTTCAGAAAGCGCAAAGGTCGTCGCAGGATCAGTTCCCCATCACTTCTAGCCACATTCAGGCATTGAACGAGTCGTTTTCTCTTCATGAGACTAAAGTAACGCCCACAGATTACTCAGATATAGAAAGTTCTCATGTCAAGCGGCATGACCATGAAGCAGATGGTTCCTTATTCGTCAATGACCCCTTTGCACAAGCAAGATCAGAGTGGCCTGTTCGTGCGGAAACACGCACATCCATGACGATCCGGGACCGATTGATCGGTATATGGCGTAAGTCCCTGGTTGACCCGGCTATCTAGCCTCACTGCTGCTACAACATGCTCTTCTACGTGATGTTTTGCTAATCTTCAATAGCGAGTATCCCCGTGGGTCTCGAGAATGCGCCGTTTCCAATTCTTTGGGAGGTCACGCGTATTGCTTTGCACTGTAATGTTGACCTTCAGGCCTTCACGCTGAAATACCAGGGAGGTTTTCATCAACAAAAGACATTGCGGCATGCTTTGAATGAAATACCGTCATTTCAAGGCAAGACTTTCCCGCCCCAATCGAATGCAGAAGCATGGCAGGTTAGCCTCTTGCATTCTACACCCAATGGACGTGCAGTGGTCTTCTCTGGCTCATTGGACTTGAATCAAGATAAAGGTGGACCTCTGTTTTCTTTGCGGCTGCATCCGTTGGCTCTAGATGATTCATATCGCCTGAGCCGTCGTTTCGGATCTGATCGTTTTCTAGAACTTGTCTGTCCCTCGCTCTACTCGAACACAATACCAGAGTATCTCAAGGGCGATGACAATGCTATAGAAGAGGTCATAAACTGGCTTACTCGCGGACCACATTGGCTCGTTGGGCGTCGATGGGCTCCTTTCTACCTCAAAGATGTTGGTTACAAAAAGCCACCCAAGGAAGTCCGCTTAGGCCTAGAGCCACCGAAAGCAGTTGTGAAAGACAGAATGTACTTCTTCGCCGAAGACGGCATCTCTTTCGAGGATCCACCCTCCCCTAACGCGCTTCCGTCAAGAGAGGAGGTCAAGAGCAGCATTAGAACGAGAATGATGTTACCAGTCATGCTTGAATGGGCACTAGAGTTGACTCAGAACACAGACCAACCATGTCTGAAATTATTTCAAAGAATTGCCCTTGGTAAGTGGTTATTGAGTGATTATTATGGCAATAGATGTCTAATGAGGACATAGTCTTGAGCAAAACTCGCCCAACTATTGTCTTTCGCTCGGATCAGATACGGCATCAGAAAGCTAACAAACTATCGATTACCGGAAATGTGATGAATGATGGCGCCGGCCAGATGTCACGAGGCGTCGCCTTGAAGATCAGAGACTTGTTAGGCCTTCCCGATATTCCATCTGCGGTCCAAGGGCGACTCGGTAGCGCCAAAGGTATGTGGGTTGTTGATGTCACAGATAAGAGCGATGATTTGTGGATCGATACCTACCCGTCGCAGCGGAAATGGACTTGCTCCGGAGTGGATGACGATCATCGAACATTGGAAATACGGGGTTACCCAAGAGAACCCAGATCCGCACATTTCAATCTTCAACTTCTTCCCGTGTTGGAAGACCGGGCACGGAACAAGCAACAATTTCGCGAGAAAGTTGGGGGGCTTCTGCAGAAGAATCTACAAGAGGACTTAAGCAGTATGAGAACCTCAATGTGCTCAACGATACAGTTCCGTCAATGGGTCCACGAGAATTCCTCCTGTCGCCATGACAGAATTGAGCGAGGCGAGGTGCCCTTCTTGGGAGGTCTACCGGAACAAGATGAGGAGGTGATGGCTTTCCTAGTCAACGGAGGCTTCGATCCGATGAAGCAAAAATATCTCCAAGACCTGGCATGGCAAGCGCAAAAGCGGAAGTGCGATGATTTACAAAAGCGTCTCAAAATCAAGATCGAACTCTCCGCTTACCTCTACATGATACCTGACTTCCGTGGCCTACTCAAGGAAAGTGAGGTGCATATCGGCTTCTCTTCCAAATTTACTAATGGTGATACTATTCTACACGATGTTGATCTGTTGGTCGCACGCAATCCAGCTCATTTCAATAGCGACGTACGGAAAGTCAAAGCTCGGTTCATCCCAGAACTTCATTTTTTGAAGGACGTCATCATATTCTCAACCGAAGGCGATCGCCCGCTTGCGGACTGGCTGTCAGGTGGTGATTATGACGGCGACATGGCATGGCTTTGCTGGGACCCAGTCATTGTAGATAACTTTGAGAATGCACCCTTACCACAATCTCCTGATCTCTTCGGGAAGGGCTACCTGCGCAAGGACAAGGAAACACTGGGGGATCTGATCAATCGTCATGGTATGCCTCGTGGGGTAACGGAAGTTCTCGTCAAGAGTTTCCGCTTTAACATGAGAGACAGCCTTTTGGGCATCTGCACGAATTACAAGGAACGAATGTGTTACGAGCGGGCCAACATCAACGACAAGCATGCCATCACGATGAGCACGCTCGTAAGTCATCTCGTCGACCAAGTGAAACAAGGTATAATCTTTACAGTGAAAGACTTTAATAGACTGCGACGCGACTATCTCAATGAGCGGCGTCCACCGGATGAACCAGCCTACAAATATGACTCATGGAACTGGAAGTCAGGAGAGCCGCATCATATTATTGACTACCTCAAGTTCAATGTTGCTAAGCAGGCGATTGACACGGAACTTGAGGCTTTGCATAGAGACCTTAATGGCCAGGACGCTGAAAACGAAGGGAGACCAAAATCCAGAAACGGGGAGATGGGAAGAGCTTTCGAGCCACAAGATGGAAAAGCGGAATATTGGGATCCAGCCCTGACCTCTTTTTATGATAATATTGCCCAATTTCGCGAAGATTCACGGTCTATCAAAACGCTACTCGATTCTCTTCAACAGGAAATCGAAAAAGCCGAGAAGGAGTGGAGGAAGGCCATGGGTGGCCCAACCGCCCAGGACGCCTTTCAGTTCTCACACAAAGTTCTCTGGGTCTACAAGGCTTGGAGAGGCATCGAACCAACAAAAACGCACGAAGCGCTACATCAGAGCAAGATGGTTACGATGCTACTGCCACCCAACCTCGCAGACCCGGAAAAGAGCCCATGGGCACTGTTAAAAGCGAGCTTTGCTTTCAAGCTGTTCTATAAGAGAAATCCCAAGTTTGTCTGGAGAATAGCAGGCAGGCAGTTGCAGTACCTTAAGGCGATGAGTGTCGATGGCCCGACTGCGATGGTCGTCCCAGCTCAGTACGTCATACACCGCCCGGATTCGAAGGCCGTGAGGCAAATTGTGGCGCGGCTGGGCGGTAGCAGCACGGTCTACGACAACGGTGTGAACACGGATGAGGATGATGAGTGATACGATGCGATTCCGAGACGAGGTGATGAATAAGGATTAATGACTAGAGACGGCCATGACATGACAGGGGTGGTCCAGTGAGCGAGATAATTGCGTTAGCACACTGTGTCTACATTTGCGGGATTGAGCATCTTTCGAGTTATCAGATGCTTGTCGAAGAGGAACCGCTGATTCAGATAGATATCCCTGCAGAAGAACGGTGAGATGGCAGTATTCGTGAGCTTGTCTAAGCAAGCATCAAGCAGCTGCTGGCTCAAGAAAGGACGCGACACTGCATCATCTGAAAGCTTTGGTTGCGACTTTTGCGGGTCTTAGATGCCATACGAGAGTGGTACTCGACAGCACGTTAGACAGACGTTTTCCCCATCTCTTACTCTTAATGACTAATGATTGTACGAAATACCCAGGTCCTTGTTTCCCTTCCCGCTTCGCTATGTTTTCGCTGTGTTGAATGTGCTGATATCCATTTGAAATCCTGGGTTTTATGCCTGCTGGTGCTTGTTCGGACAAGACTCGCAAACGATCTTGTCCCAATCTCTCCCCACCCTAGGATTGAAGTGCCTTTTGCCCAGGACATTAGATCAAATGAATAATATCATCGACAAATGGATTATGCCGTCGGAGAATTCTGCAGACAGTCTACTGATGTTCTGGAACTGAAGCCCCTCAAGCCCCACATTCTATCACCCCCAGTCCGTGCATCGTACCCGACCTGGCGAGACCCGATCGTCCTGTATCCACTGTGACAGAGATCTGTTCAGCTAAATTAGAGTGTTCCATATGCAGACATGGGTGAGACTGAGAATTCAACATTGATCGGATCCTTTGAAGAGCTATCAGAGTCACGCCGGCAGATATTGTTCAACCCGTTGCTTCCCAACTACCATCTGCCGTTTCGTTCGATCTTATTCAAACAAAGTTCTCGTTTCTAGTCGGAAGAAACCCGTAAGCCGCTTGTTTTTCATGCGGGATGTTTTGCAGCCAGAGAACCGGGAATCGATTGTTGAATTCCATATTGTTGTCTGCGCCTCAAAAGCCTCTCTTTTCGGAACCCAATGGAGCGGAGAATTGCCTGCCGTCTTGCAAAGCCTAGGGATACCGTCCAGAGTTGCGTCGGTCAAGACGTGCATTGCGACCGGTGAGTATCTTAAACCTCTGGCGAGCGAGCTTCTGGATTGATCTACGCCAGGAGCAGGTTTGGTGACAAAGACTTTCGGTCGACAAGCCCAGCGAAGTCTCGTCTGATAATCATCGAGTAAGCAACCCCCTTGCCACCCGCCTACCCCTTAGATTCGCCTTCAAGTTCAGCAGCGGTTAGCTGCCGATGATTAGCGAGGCGAAGAAATGCCCTGAAATCCGGGGGGTGTCATTGCATGGCGGACATGAGACGCCAGCGTCGCACGTGCCCGCAATGCGGCCTTCCGTTCTGCGACACGGCTTATACCCCGCCCGTATGCAACAGGGGACAAGGTGCCCCGGATCACGGACTGCGGGGCTCTCTCAATGCCCATCTGGGCGAGTTGAGCTTGTTGGGCGTGTCAGTCTGGCATCCCCAGTCAGCCAGGCTGCTCCTCTATGGCTGGAGGTGCTGCCGCGGAGTCCGGTACGGCTAATACGGGGCGCGCCGGATCGACAGAGACGATCGTCTCGTTTGACTCGTGGTGTGGTCGAGATGGGACTGACACAACCTGGGACGAACTGGCATCGTGGAGAACGGCAGGGCAATGGCAAGGGGGACGGGGACGCCACGATGCCGTTATTACCTCTCAATATCCCCGGTTTCTGGCGTCCCGTCGTTTCTTGAAAGGTTCTGGCTTTCTTCTTTCAAATCCGAGAAACTATTATCGGCGGCAGAGACAGATCGCAGATGCAGCATCGAACACCCTGGGTGGTGTTAAGTCGGTGTCGTCGAATCGTGAACATATCTCAAGAGGCGCTCTGCCATGTCAGACGCCAATAACAATGGTGTTGCCCGAGCGGACGCGGCCACAATCAGGGCGCAGACGGGCACTATCGATGCCTTCAACCTTCCGCACGACAACTATGGCCCTCAATTGAATTTTACAGTCTGGTTTCTCACTGCATTGTCGGCTCTCTTCTTGGCGCTCAGAGTGTATTGTAAATTCTTCAGGCATAGAGGGCTGTGGTGGGATGATTACGTCTTGATACTAGCATGGGTATGCGATGGCAAGCCATCTTCTTCGAGCTTATTGTCACTAACACGCGCCCACTAGATCATGCTTGTTGTCTCTTGCTCATTCATGTCAGTGTGTGTCAGCCTGGGCTTTGGAAAGCATATCTGGGACATCAATTTCAAGGACATCCCGCCGTTCCTCTTCTTTTCGAGTTTCGCCGGCTTCTTCTCCATCTTAGCCGCCGCGTGGAGCAAGACGTCCTTTGCCATCACGCTGCTGCGCATTTCGGATGGCTGGATCAAGAAATTTGTTTGGTTCGCCATCATCAGTGTCAACATCGCGCTGGGGCTTAGCGGTATCTTCCAATGGGCTCAGTGCATGCCTGTCCAGAAGCTCTGGAACAGAGAGATTGAGGGCAAGTGCTGGCCGGCAACAGTCCAGAAGTACAACATCTCGACATCCGGTAAGTGCTCTGGTATAACACTGTATCATTTACCGTCTGTTGCTAACCGATAGCTGTAGCATACTCCGGTGTTATAGATATCTGTCTTGCCTTGCTACCCTGGAAAATCATCTGGAGTTTGACAATGAACAAGAAGGAAAAGATTGGTGTCGTCCTTGCTATGAGCATGGGGGTCTTGTACGTTTCTCTCTCTCCCCGGCAGACCATTCACAATGCTAACGGTAATGATCTCAAGTGCCGGGATTACATCCATCCTGAAAACATTGACACTCTCTGGGATAACCAATCCCGACGTCAGTGAGTCAATACGATGCCAATTGATCAATACGCTCTCCGCTGACCTCTTTTCTAGTCAGCACAATTAACATCTTCATCTTTGCTATTGCGGAGACAGCCATAACTATCATGGCAGCGTCAATTCCAATTCTGCGCGCATTGCTCCGTGACAAAATCCGGCCACCTCCGGCACAGTTCTACCACTATGACGAGAACAGGTGGGCTGGCTCACTGCCGTCAGAGGGGCGCGCCAGCACGGTAGTTAGTTCGCGCCCGCGGAGCTCGTACGGAGAGGGCCTAGACCAGCGCACCCTGCCACAGCAGCGCAGGAGCCGCCTAAGTCTAGGCCTCCGCTTCAGCAGCCTCTGGTCGAGAAACAGTCACCTTGACTCACAACATAGCCGCTCCGGCAGTACCTCGGGCCTGGAGCCGCCATTTGGCAAAATTGTCCAAACGGACGAGGTCCGGATCGAATATCACATTCGCGAGATACAAAAGATTGGACGGGAACTGTGATTGATCGATATCGTCCCTATGTAACATATTACTCATACCTTGGCTTGGTATTGGCTACTGGAAAACCTGCATACGATGGCGGAGGGCCGGGGACCGCATCAGGGAGGAGGCTCAATTGCATTTTATACGGCGCAGCACCGGGATCGGAATGGGACATTGGAGTTCAGTCGGCCGTTGTCAATTACCATTGTGTAGCATCTGTCTCTACCGCCAGCGTACTGCTTGATCGAGGTGATGTGGTGAAGTCGAAAAGAACTTCGAATTCGAGAGTGTTGTTGTTGCGGATTGTGACTCAGCGCCTTGCTTCTAATAAGCGCACTTAGAATTACTGCATTGCTATACCAACCATTGCTGCGACCAATTGACGAATGACAGAGGTCAGAAAGAGGTGTAAGTCAGCATCGTCAAATTGCGGTTTTCTTTTTCCCTTTTCTCTTAAAGCCTGGATTCTTTTGGTACAACTCTCCGTGATACTGCAACAAGTGGAAGCAGACAACATTTATTGGGCCGAGGAAGGACCTTCCAAATTTGGCCCTCAGCGGGATTCCACTGCGGAATTCCACTGCGGGCTACTTCCCGCCCATAAGGGAGGCCATCCGACGCTGGCGCGCAAACTACTTGATGGGTGCCGCCGGCCTGTGTCGGGTGTAGTTTGAAGGGCGCGCGCGCGACCTTAGGCGTGCACAAAGGCTATCGCGTAACTCCTTCGGCGGGCTTGGCTAATGGAGTCATGGCGATCTAGCAGCAGAGATAACGAACCGGAGCCGGTCGTCGGCTACCGCGCGCTATGACTGAATATAAACACAATGACGCATCGTGAGTCTCCTATATAGAGGAGGCATTGAATCCACCTGTCAATACTCTCCGCTATCTAGTCATCAGTCATCTATTCAATCATGACGGAAGCAAATGGCACCGTAGCCTTTGGCGCTGAAATGCGCAAGCTCTTCAACTTTGCAGACAGTTACACGCCGCTTAATCATGGGGCGTACGGCACATTCCCTCGCGCCATTCTCGAGAAGCAGCAAGATTTCCAACGGCAGTATGAAGCCCGGCCCTCCGTCTTCGAAACACACACCTACCCGGAGCTCCTGAAGGAGTCCCGGGCTGCAATTGCTCCTCTGCTCGGCGCAGAAGTGGGCGATGTCGGATTCGTCCGGAACGCCTCCACGGGCACGAGTTTGATGCTAGGGAACTTAAAGTACGAAGAGGGTGATGTCATTCTTCATTTGGACACGCTGTATGGAGCATGTGTGAAGAGTATACAATTCCTCGAAGAGACAACCGTTGTCAAGAGGAAACCTATCAACGTTACCCTGCCTGCCACATTTGAAGTCATTGTGCAGGCATTCAAGGACGCAATTCGAGAGGTGAAGGATGCCGGCCTGAATCCCAAGGTGGCAGTGTTTGATACAATTGTGTCTCAGCCCGGATTTAAACTTCCCTGGGAAGACTTGGTCAAACTGTGTCGCGACAATGGCATCCTCTCTGCCGTGGACGCGGCGCATGCGGTTGGGCACATCGACATGACACACACGGCAGAGGTCAGCCCCGACTTTCTGGTCAGTAATTGCCACAAGTAGGTTATCGATCTCGTAGGGCTGGTGTTACATCAAAGTGGCTGACATTGTTACAGGTGGCTCTATGTGCCTCGAGGATGCGGAGTGCTCTACGTGCCAGCCCGTAACCACCATCTGCTTCGCACGACGTTTCCTACCTCGTGGGGCTTCCTTGACGCAGATGCTCGCGCAAAGAAAGAGCCTTCCAATTACTTTGTTGACTTACTTCAATTTGTTTCGACAACCGACAACAGTGCGTATCTTTGCATCCCTGAAGCAATCAAATGGAGGCAGGAGGTCTGTGGTGGTGAGCAGAAGATTAGGGAGTACTGCCACCAGCTGGCTCGCCAAGGCGGCAAACGCATGGCAGAGATCCTGGGCACCGAAACGATGGTAAAAGACCCATCGCCTGCCACAGATACCTGTTTTGCCATGGTGCGGCTGCCAGTGAAGCTTGGCGATGGGGAGGCTGAGCATGGGGAAACAATAGCATCGTGGATCCACGAAACTGCGATCAAGGAGTCTGACACGTACATTCCCGTGAGGTTCTATGCGGGTAATTTCTGGGTGCGGATCAGCGCGCAGATATATCTGACCATGGAGAACTTCGAGTGGGCTGCACATGTCCTATTGAAGCTCTCTGAGCGGGCGAGTAGCTCGGCTTGGCAGACGGATGTTGCGTAGTAACCCCTTGCAACAATGCCAAGCCAATTGATTCTACATTCGTGGGGCAGGGAGGTATTTGTACTAGAAGCCGGTGACGTGTGCTGGTTCCTTTGTCGCGAGGCGACTAGACCGCGATGTCTCGGAATGTCTCACACTACCGGCAGATGCCATGTGGTGGTTAGCCCACTCGGCGAATCACGTAGTGTAAAACCAAGACACCAACCGCGAATTTAGAGAGACCAGCCATTCCTAGCACGCGAATCTATAGCAAAATGCCATTCCCATGAAAGGCGTGTACCCACCAAGTATTGCGACTGCCGATGCCAGTGCGGCGGGTTATAGCATTGTGAAGAACGGCTTTATGTACCCAACCTCCCGGTGCCAAAGATTGAAAATGCGCCTCCTTTTGTGTTCAAAGTCTAGGTCGAACTCTGCTCTTGATATTGCAGTTGCAGTTGCACTGCGTCCATTCATTCTTTTTTTCCCCAGGTAGAAGATAACCCTCGTTCCGCGTTATCTTAGTCCGGAACATTTACACCAACTTGAGGGCCAACGGCATTACATGGTGCCGAGTATACACGATGTTCTCTCAACTTTCTTCAACATATCTTGCAACACTCTTTCTATGTCTACACCTAGTGAGCGCCGCACCAGGATTTCTAGGTAACACACCAACAAGGATATCAGGACCATTCACAGACAACGGGGCCGACACCCTGCAAGATGTCCCCAGGAGCGAGGAGGCGAGGAACGTGATGGGCGAGGGCACATTCACAATAAAGCAGGAAAAGAGGGCGACGACGAGAAAGCGAACTGGGCTCGATGCCATGGTGCGTGCCTACGCAAAGTACAACGTTTCGTTGCCGCCGCAACTCAAGGTCGCTATGAAGCACGCAGACGAAGTTACCGCGCGAAAGAGTAAGTTTCGACAGAGTCTTCTGTTTCTTCTAATTCACTAACACCAAGGACTTTAGGAGGAAGTATGTGGGGTACAACATCAGCAACTCCCCCTGGTGGCTACGACTACGAATATGTTAGTCCCGTCAAGGTTGGCACTCCCGCACAAACCATTAACATGGACATTGATACGGGCTCCGCGGACTTGTAAGTAATTCCAGCCATCTGCCTAAGTACCGTCCACTAACGCGTTGTTTCAGCTGGCTCTTCTACTCAAAAACACCATCGATATATCAAGGTGGCCAAACACTCTACTATCCCGAGAAGTCATCGACTTCTAAGAAGCTGACGGATAGCCGCTGGAGTATCGGATACGGTGATGGTTCCGGTGCTTCGGGGGTGGTGTATACCGACAGAGTTGTCGTTGGCAACACCTATCTAAACGGCATGTATGTCGAGTGTGCGACATATGTATCCAGCAGTTTCACAAACGATGCTTACAGTTCTGGACTGTTCGGCCTGGGCCTAGGAGGAAACACCGTCAAGCCTACAGCACAAGGCACATACGCACAGAAGATCCAGAGCTCACTTGCTGCTCCACTCTTCACAGCCAATCTGAAGAATGGCGCCGCCGGAAACTATAACTTCGGCTATATCGCCACATTCGAGTTTCAAGGAAGGATACAGTACTCCTATGTCGACAAGTCGTCGATCTACTGGAAATTCGTCGCCACTGGCTACCGCATTGGAACCAGCACGGCGACATACACCACCCTTCCATATACCGCGATTGCGGACACAGGGACAACGCTACTACTGCTCCCCGACAGCATTGTCCAAGCATATTGGTCTAAAGTTGCCGGCGCCGCTTATGACTCTAGTTGGGCAGCGATTTTATTTCCCTGCAGCAGAACCCTCCCGGACTTCACGTTTGGCATTGGCACCTACAGAGGTGTGATACCGGGACGATATATGAACTACGGACAAGTCAACTCATCGACTTGTTATGGAGGTATCCAGAGTCAAGGAACAATTGGGTTCAGCATTTTCGGGGATATTGCTCTCAAGGCGCAATTTGTGGTATTCGATCTAGGGAATAGGAGGGTTGGGTTTGCCAACAAGAAGCTTACGACATAGGGTTTCATTTGGGAGGAGTGATACGAAACTGGAATCATTAGACTACATGTAAGCTTCTGGTAGAAGGCACATCGAATTTTGGGCGGTATATTTGTTTATAGGGATGATACCAGGCTTCACGATAGAGGAGGACGAAACTCACTCATACATAATTCAAAGCATGTGAAACGAGAACTCGATTACTCTTCAGTCATGTTTACCCTATGAAATTTGCTCGTGGTGTGATGAGCATGTATACGCTAAGCGACAGGAGGACTATTGTCCGGTTCTCAATGTTTTCGACTTGCTTTAGACTCTTCCCCGAGGTCATGGATGATTTCCATATCATCGGGAAATTTAGTCCGAAACATGACTGGCAATTCGGAGACATCCTTGCGGATCACATGTTGTGTTTTCTACCATTTTTCACTCGGTCTCCCTTGCCTGCAAGCCCTCGGACGTACTATTCTTCGCTTAGCATTTGTCTTAGATCTACCACATCTGGGGAAAGGCGTCTGGTGTGTACAAGAAATCAGCATGACGTAAACTTTGGTGCCAAGAAGTAAGTGCCTGCCGTCCCAGACAAAGGAGAGTTTTACAATGGCATTTGTTGTCTGGGATAAGTGTGGTTGTGGCTAAAACCCTTGGTTACACGGCAACAACGATGCCAAGACCTAGACTAATCAACGGTTAGATGTGTAAGGGATGATTTTAATCTGCTTTTCTTTGTGCTCTCAGCACTATGCTCAACTCTTGCAGATGTCAAAAGTCAAGTGAAGAATTTCCGTATCTTAAACACTTAATCAAATGCTTTGCTTGGCGTCGCGCATTTTGGTCATGATTGTATGACGATGATAATCGTGATTAAGTTGCATCTGATTGAAGAATAGAGACCGAGAGCAAAGTGAGGTTGCAACATCACGGAAGAAAGGATTTTCACGTTCCGGCTGCCTTGTGAAACTACACCGTGGTTGTGTATCTCTAGAAGCTTCAATTTGGAAAGAACAATATTAGAAGTCAAGGATTTTTTTTCTAATGCCGGGAACACGAACATCCCCAACGGTATACCCTTGTTTCTTTAAAGTGACCACTTGGTTTGAACGCTTGCTCAGTGGTGCTTGACGTGTGATATCATGTCGAATCTGTAAAGGATCCAACGAGGGATCTCGGGCTTCAGTGGAACGAAAGAAGATAGTCGCCATTCCTCGTGGGAGTTCAACGCCTTCTTCTTTGGACACGCCGTCTGCCTAAATTTGAGTAATTGATTGAGCAAACAACCACTCTCATATTTCTTCAAAGCCATTTGATTTGTGCCCAAAGAAGCGTGAGGAGCTCATATTAATCAACAACCTGATCAGACGATCACACCTGGATCTCAACACTTTCCCGTGTAATGATGTGGCATGAGACCCATCTGAGATGAAATACAATCACAGACCAGAACTGAAAATTTGATGCCGCAGAGGTTTGCTTCAAATTTTCAACTCAAAGCCGAGGTTTCTGTCGTCATCCATCAATATTTGTCTATTACAACGTTCACCTTCCCTGATCCAAAATTCGTTATCAACCACCGCGTGACATATCTTCTCCCGGCTGTTTACTGAGGCGACCACTTCACAATTTCTAGCTGTCACTTACACTCGCAGAATACGCGGGTTTGCCTTACTCACGTCAACGCATAATCCCCGAGGTCCTTTCACCAGCAGAGCTACGTGATTATTTGACTGCTTTGCGGCTTTTACCTCACTTCTTGACATCTTCTTTTTTCTTGATCTCCCCATAGTCATCCTCGTTCAAAATGACGATGATTCGCAACAGGCAGAAGACTGTAACGTTCGAGGAACGATCGACCCGAGAGGCACAGATCGTGCGTCGAGGTAAGGCTATGCCACCATGGCGGAATTATGTGAGACGTATAGCTCACCCTCCTCAGAAACTATCCTTGAATCCGAGGTGTCACTATCTCCTAGCATGGCGCGGTCCAATAACCATGGCCTGTCTCACTCCACGGATTCGGTCAGCCATGTACCTCTGCCCGCAACCCATCTCATCACGAACCTTCTGGCTCTCCTCCCCATGATGGTGACGTTGTTACCCACACGCTCCCTATCAACAGAGAGCACGAAAACACAGCCAGGAACAGCTCTATTAGTGCTATAACTCGCTATCTAAAGGCTGAGGCCCAGCTCGTCGAGCAAATTGCCACAAGACTTGAGAAGCTTGAGTGTGAGGTCACACATGACAAAATTGAAGCATCGCTGTAGAAGGATTGTGAGGCGGCAAAGGCCATCTCTCGCGTGGACCACCGGATCGAAGCTCTCGAGAACGACAGCAAGAGATTCAAGGTTGCTTCTGAAAGCACCTGCGACCAGTCTACCTAAGGAACAAAGCAGGTGGTTAACCTTCTCATCACTGACGTCAAGGGGCTCATCATGGCCGATCTCAAGAGAACTAGGACAATCCCCGAGCAAAGACCAGACTATCCGGGATCTCAGTCAGCTAGGCTACAAGAGCCAGTTCGAGGTGCACACCACCTGCCAGCTGTCTCATGGCTTAGCCTTGGGAGCTTCACCCATGCCTCCTATGCCATCGTGTGCCGTCGACCAATCCACAGGATCCACTCACCGCACTGAGGTAGGGCCCTACATCTCTGATGAGTTCTTATCTTCTTCTAGGCTGTGTATCAAGTATGTCAACTTAACTTGATGAAGACAAAAAAGTCGCCAAATTTCTGGAAGATATGGATTGCAAAAACTTTGAGCACCTTGTACGCCTGCAGAAGTATCTTTCAACTCCGTACTCGCGGGACTTTTTGCTCCAGGCCAAGAGCGACACTGATAAATTCTACCTCCGAATTGACGGTTGAGGATGCAAATCATACGTGGCTACAGTCAATCCACTGCCGGCCTCCGAAGGGTAAATTCAGAGCAAGCCAGAGCTACCGGCATCCTGGAGATGTTTTCTCGGCGCGACCCCGGGCCCGCGTACGAGCAGGATACGGATCTTGCTATCCCCTACTGCGTAGTGCACCTGGGCGAGGTGCACCTCTTCCACAGCAACAGCAAGGACGGGCACTGAAGCGCGTCTACACCAACTACCATGTCGTTATGGAGGTCTCTACAAACAAGGAGAGGTGGCTAGTATACGAATACGACGAGGTGGACGACCAGGGCGCCATGGCCAAGGGGGGCGAGAACCCCGTCTTCCCTGGATTCGCGACCGAGTTCCTGCCCGTGGCATTGCAGCCGCCTGTCTGGGCAGGCTCTAACGTAGCCCAGCTCATGACGGGTTTGGCAGGGACAAAGGAAATTTGACTGGATGATGATGAAGCATCGAGATTTCGGACTTGCAAATCAGATCAGGTCGGTCAAGGACACTACATTGACAGTATGCATGGGCACATCGAATCACTCAGGGTCAGGGTCTTGAACGCATGGGGATGATAGAACACCCTCAGAAGCTGTCAAAAAATAGACTTTGTAACAATATCGCACATTCTTCCCAGTTCCATGGTTTCTCGAATCGGGCATACACCGGCCGTGCACTGTTCCGTGGCATCGGAGCAGTGCGGGGATGGATATATGGCCGCCATGAATCGGTAACTCCAAATCTCCCCAAATCGAAAATCAATCTGCTGGGTACTTGCCTAAGCATGAACGATGCAAGGACCAAGCGCCCGGAATGCTTCCCGAACAATGCGGTACTAAACATCGGATTTGTGTGTCAACGTTACTCTTCTTGGTAATTACCTTGTTGGGCGAGAGACCGCCGTTGTTTAGACTGTCCGATCGGCGAAATGTAACCATCAGTTCCACGGCGTTTCTTGGTGATTATTGAGATGTTGGCTCTTTCACGTATAATTTCGATGCTGACTGCATGAATACATGCATACATGCATACATACATGCCTCTAGCGGCGGGCGACATGATGTCAACATCAATACTGCAGCTGGGGAAGAAGTCCGGGGCAAGGCAATAATCGCCTTCATCTTGATCATTGAGAAACGGGCCGAAGCTGTGCCCTTTGGCGACACCGTTTTTTGACAAGCAGCTGACACAGTTGCGATTGGCGTGAAGCAAGCCATCTGGAGATCGCTGTCCATCATTCATCGATCCTCCCCCTGGTTCAAGCCACTCGGCTGCTTCGGTGAATTCTGAGTGGCTTGCATGTTTGTGGGGAAACAAGGGCGGGGGAGCTTGTGCGGGTGTGTGCGGTAGTGCAGTAGCGCCGCCAGTGGCCGGAGTGCCCGCCTGGACCAACTGCTGTTCTAGCGGTTTATTGTGCTAATGACCCCCATTGCTGGACTGCGCCAGGGCTTGGTGTGCGTGCGGGGGACAGGCCAGTCGAAACCCCTGGCCCTGGTCCTCTGGCCTGCAATTGACTTTTAGGTTGGCGTCGGTACAATTCCTCGGCCGTTCTTTCCTTCTGCTCAACTGGATGCATCTCGCGCTCTTTCCTTACCCGCTCCGACGGGCAACTCCTGTGCTTGCGGACACGATAGCTTCATATTGCCTTTTCTCGTCTTTTTCTCAACGATTGATGATATTCCCTCGTTCGAATGGCGGAAATCGTAAAGACTGGGCGCTTCTACAACGTTAGGAAGAAGAAAGGAGCAGGGCAATTTATAGGTCTTGGCGCATGGGAAGCTGGAATGTAACAACAAATGCCGAGCCGCCGCCAAATTAATACCGATCGACGGTGCCTCATTTCTTACCCGCCAAGGCAAGACAGACCAATTTCCAGCACCAAGCAGCCCTGCGAGCATACAAAGCGGTCTAGATCCGAGTGAATGCACTGCTTAAGATTGGTATTCATTCATGAATTGTGGAAAGAAACCCGAGAGTTCAAGAGAAAAGTTATGTGTCTTGTAGCCTCTTTGGTTTTCTAACAGAATCTCGTATTCTCGTTGAATAGCAGGGTTGAGACTGGCTGACGGTGCCAGCTGCTGACAAACTGCAGGCGTTCGTTCAATAAGGTCACGAAATTGGAGAGCAACCGGGTCAATTGGGAATCATTCATCATCCATCATCAATCATCAGGGGAAAAGATCGGATGATGGCACTCAACAAGGTTGGGAAGGAGAGATGAAGTCATGGAATGGGTCGGACCTTCCTGTTTTTAGCGTCTATCTCCACCATCCGGCAGGGCAGGTACACACGTACGGTATCGCGGGCACGTACATTAGGAAGCAAGTACCTTATCACAGGCTGCGATAACGTTAATGTTAACGTTGTGACCCGTTACTGCCGAAGTACCTGTGCCAACGCCACTGCCGAAGCCACCGCCCAGGTCGCTCTCATGTTATTTTCCTCTTCCTTGCCTTTTGCATGCTCGTGTTCATGTTCATCCCATCCCGTATCCAACCCTCGAAGACCTCCTTACTATTGGAAGACATCGTCCAATGCTAGAAGATCCCGCGCCTCTCTCTTCCAAGTATGGCATCTTTTTCTCCGCACTGACGCTGACGGTACCGCACGCATGTTGCGCCGTGGACCTGACCGATTCTCACCAGCTTTTCCTGGATCCCTGCATCAGAGCGCATTCTCCTCAACAAGCCCCCATGTGCCTCCAGTGTTCCTCCACCCCGGGCAGTGATCGGCCCTTTTCTGATGCCATCTTGGCCCGGTTGTGCTGCTGACCCATTGTTCTCTTCCCACTCACACGCGCTGCTCATACCAGCTACCTCAGGCCATGGGTGTCTCGTGGCTAGTCCTACTGTGGTACAGCACCGCACTCTTGACCTAGGTATCCAAGGTATCCAATGCCCATGATGGAAAGATGCAGAAGGCGAGCTCGGCCGCCCGCCTACATTGGCTTCTCCCCTCGATGCAATGGGTCGAGCTTGAGCTTCCAGTCGAGCCAGTCGGGGAAGCAGGCACTCACCACATACACACCCTCGGCCGGCCCCCCAGTTCCCCGCTTCCCAGAATCTGTCCCGTTGCACATCCTTCTCCACACTCGGGCGGCGATGATGCCTGCTTGCTCAGTTGCCTTGCTGGAGAAGTGCGGAGACAAGAGACGCGGATCGTGACAGCAAATCTCTGCTGCTCCCAAGGTTACAATGGGGTCTAAGACCCGGCCAGGATGGACCGGGTGCCATGTGCGCTATTGTGACTGTGTATATGCGCATTGCCATTTATATATAGGCCAATCTATCTACCCGTCAACATTCCAGACCCGGACCCCGTTCTAACGGTTACCTGCATTCCCCAGCAACAGTCCGCTCCGCTGATCAGTCCCCTGACGAGAGCTTAACGTGTGCAAAACGCGTCAAGCCTCCAACCTGGGATCTTCAATCGTGCCCTGAGCCTCTTCGTGCTGCCGTCCCCGCAAGAACAGGACCAATTGACCGGCTGCGCGACGTCACACATCATGAAGCACTCGGCCATCGCCCTGGCCCTTCTGGCAAGCTGCAGTTCAGCTGCGGCCTCTGCAATTGGCCTTGATGAACGCTCTCAGGTAAGTTTGTGTTGAATTGAGAATGGAGGTGGAAGGATCCGAGACTCGAGTGCGATTGTTGCGATCGTCGCTTCCCCCTTGAAGCCATAATCTCCCCACCGCCACTGCCTTGCTCGACTTCCTCCTTTCTTCGTGTAGAAAAAGCTCCAACTTGCGGTCAATTACTCAATTGGCTTGCTTGGGCTTCTCTACAGCTTCCTCAGTCATCGCAATGCTTTTAATCACACTTGCGCCGTTCATAGCCCTCGCCGTGCTCGCAGGCGCTGACAAGACTCCACAGCTCGAGCGCAGAGCCCTTGCACACTCGGAACCCTTCTATCCCTCGCCATGGGCAGACCCGAATGCCAATGGCTGGGAAGACGCCTATGCGAAGGCAAAGGACTTTGTCTCCCAGTTGACGCTGCTTGAAAAGGTCAACCTGACAACCGGTGTTGGGTAAGTGTGGCTTCATGTTCCGCGCCCAGCTGACTGGGAGGGCAAATTTTTGCGATTTGGCAATTGAACATGAACTAATCAGTCATGCAGTTGGCAAGGTGAGCAGTGTGTTGGTCAAGTCGGCTCTATTCCTCGCCTCGGCTTCCGCAGTCTTTGCATGCAGGACTCGCCAATGGGTGTCCGGTTGTCCGACTACAACTCAGCGTTTCCTTCTGGCCAGACCGCGGCGGCAACTTTCGACAAGGGACTTCTCTACCGCCGTGGCTTGGCCATGGGACAGGAGCACAGGGGTAAGGGCGTTACCGTCCAGCTAGGACCTGTTGCAGGACCACTTGGCCGCGCACCGGCCGGCGGTCGTAATTGGGAGGGTTTCTCGCCCGACCCGGTCCTGACTGGAATTGGTATGGCAGAGACTGTCAAGGGTATCCAAGATGCTGGTGTCATTGCTTGCGCCAAGCATTTCATTGGCAATGAGCAGGGTGAGCTACCTTCGTTTCATCTCAAGTCGAACGAGTATTAAATAGGTGCAGAGCATTTCAGACAAACGGGTGAAGCCCAGGGATACGGATACAACATCTCAGAGACTCTTTCATCGAACATTGACGACAAGACGATGCACGAGCTTTACCTATGGCCATTTGCCGACGCCGTCCGCGCCGGTGTTGGTTCTGTCATGTGCTCGTACCAACAGATCAACAACTCATACGGCTGCCAAAACTCAAAGATGCTCAATGACTTGCTCAAGAACGAGCTAGGCTTCCAGGGTTTCGTAATGAGTGACTGGCAAGCTCAGCACACCGGTGCCGCCAGCGCCGTGGCTGGCCTCGACATGACCATGCCTGGAGATACTGTCTTTAATAGCGGTCTTAGCTTCTGGGGCGCCAATCTGACTCTGGCGGTTATCAACGGCACCGTCCCTGAATGGAGAATCGATGATATGGCACTGAGAATCATGGCTGCCTTCTTCAAAGTTGGTCTCACAGTCGACCAGGATCCCATCAACTTCGACTCATGGACTCTCGATACATATGGTCCCCTCCATTATGCCGCCAAGGATGGCTACCAACAAATCAACTGGCATGTCAATGTCCAGGGTCAACATGCTAGTCTCATCCGCGAGGTTGCTGCGAAGGGTACTGTTCTCTTGAAGAACACTGGTGTCCTGCCTCTCAACAAACCCAAGTTCATCGCTGTCATTGGCGAGGATGCTGGCCCCAACCCGGCCGGTCCCAATGGCTGCGGAGATCGAGGATGCGATGATGGTACTCTGGGTGCCGCATGGGGATCCGGCACCGCGAACTATCCTTACCTCATTACTCCCGACTCGGCAATCCAAGCACAGGCTGTCAAGGATGGCTCACGATATGAGAGCATTCTTAACAATTACAAGCCGGACCAGATCAAGGCACTTGTCAGCCAACAGGATGCTACTTCCATTGTCTTTGTTAATGCCGATTCTGGCGAAGGTTACATCAACGTTGATGGCAACGAGGGTGACCGCAAGAACCTCACGCTTTGGAAGGATGGTGATGCTCTCGTCAAGAATGTCTCCAGCTGGAGTAACAACACAATTGTCGTGATCCACTCCGTTGGTCCCGTTCTGGTGACCGACTGGTACAACAGCCCCAACATTACTGCCATCCTTTGGGCTGGCCTGCCAGGACAAGAGTCCGGCAACTCTATCACTGACATTCTCTATGGCAAGACTAACCCCTCCGGCCGCACGCCCTTCACCTGGGGCACAACTCGTGAGAGCTATGGTACCGATGTCCTCTATGAGCCGAACAACGGCAACGGTGCTCCACAGGACGACTTTTCCGAAGGTGTCTTCATCGACTACCGCTACTTCGACAAGAACAACGATACTCCTATCTACGAGTTTGGCTATGGTCTTAGCTATACTACTTTCGGTTACTCTGATATCAAGGTTGAGAAGACGGGAGCTGGCACCTATAAGCCTACGACAGGCACAACTGCCTCAGCCCCGACTTTCGGCAATTTCTCGACTGACTTAAACGACTACGTCTTCCCCAAGGACGATATCCGCTACATCTATCAGTACATCTACCCCTACCTGAACACTTCCTCGTCTGGCGAGGCTGCTTCTGCGGATCCGTACTACGGCCAAACAGCCGAGGAGTTCCTCCCGCCGCATGCTACAGACGGCAGTCCTCAACCCTTGCTCCGAGCCTCTGGCAAGTCTAACCCCGGTGGCAACCGCCAGCTATATGATGTGCTGTATCACGTCTCCGCGACGATCACCAACACGGGCTCTATTGTTGGTGATGAGGTACCGCAGCTTTACGTCTCTCTTGGTGGACCTGATGATCCGCCTGTTGTCCTGCGTGGTTTCGACCGCATCCGCATCGATCCCGGCCAGAGTGCCACATTCAAGGCAGATATCACAAGGCGTGACCTGAGCAACTGGGACATTGTGAGCCAGGACTGGGTTGTCAGCTCGTACCCGAAGAAGGTGTACATCGGCAAGAGCAGCCGGAAGCTGGAGCTGAGTGCGGATTTGTCTTAAAAGACAAAGCACTGGAACAGGAGGAATCAAAAAGCTTATAGCATTACTTGCGCTTCAAATGTAGATATTGTCTAGTCATAATAGTAAATGTATTGCCCAATACCAAGTTTGTCCATCACTGTGGTTATCGGGGTTGTCGGTTATTGCAAAAGCCTAGCATGATGGCAAGGGATTGGCATGCGCCAAGGCTAATGTTTCTCAGATCCTTCAAGACCATCCCGCAAATCATATCACTTCTGAATGCTCCTAGACTCCATACATGCGATATCTTTTTGATTCCCAGCCCTCAGGCTGACTCAGACGGGTACTGAGCCTGTTCTACACACCCACGTATCATTATTATGCAGTGCTCTGGCTACAGCAGTAGCAGCATCAGCAGCCACCACCGCCTTCCCCAGATATGATATGATAGATACATGCCGATCTGACAATGCGGGCACGCACGTATGCTATGCCACTAGGTACATATATGTACGACAGCTGACAGCCTTCTTCCTCATTACGCTGTCTTCTCTCTCTCGGTCGCTTATGCGTCTCTCTATTTGAAGAAGCACAGTCTGCTCCAGCCCTGACCTAGTAGATGCCCGGCACGATGCGATACCTGACGACCCTCTTGTACTTCTCCCAGTCGTCGCCGTACTTCTTGGCGCACTTCTCGTCGTCCCTGCCGTCGCGGTGGATGAGCAGGATGGCAAAGTACAGCACGTAAAAGTACGTGAAGACGACGCCCCAGCCGCGGGCCGCGCCGGGCACGACCTCGCGGCCGTCGGCCATGACGGCGGCGCCCGCGGCGCCGGTGCCGGCGGTCAGGATCTGGTAGCCGGCCATGCCGGTGGGCAGGCTGTAGGGCCACGCCTGCAGCCAGTCGCCGAAGTAGTTGATGTGGCGCGCGACGCCCCACCAGCCGGAGGTGATGAGGCGCGCGCCGGTCTTGGTCTGGATGTACGAGAGATGCGCGACGCGCGGGTCGTCCGGGTTGGTGCGGAAGGTGTTCTTCTGGCTGTTGGCGAGGCGGAAGATGGAGAAGCCGGTGGCGAGCAGGGCGCCCATGGCGACGACGCCGAGGGGCCCCAGCGACACGGGGTGCACGGACAGGTAGCGCGTCTGCATGCTGTACAGGAAGGGCACCCAGACGACGTCGCCGAAGGCGAGCATGCAGCCGAAGCCGTCGGTGGTGATGTCGATGGTCGTGAGGATCGCCGGCTCCATGATCTGGCTGTCGATCACGTACAGCGCCTGCACGACGGTGATGAAGACGATGCCGTCCGTCACGGTCCCGTATGTCCGGTACTGCTTGGCGCAGTGCGCCAGGTTCATCAGGATCCACCCGGTCAGTCCTGGCCGCTCCTCCATGAACTCTTTGATGTCGATCTCGCCTAACAGCGGCAGCGTCACGCGAGGGTTGAGTTCGCGGCCGATGAACCAGTCGTACAGCAGGTTGCCGCTCTGTCCCCCGGCTGCGAGCTCACGGTGCTCTGGGTTGCCAGGCTTAACACTGAAGGAGCGGATGTAGACGTAGGTCGCGAGGAAGTAGGAGATGAGGATGTTCGCGGTCAGGATCTGGAGGTAGTTGTCGGTGATGAAGGTCCACAGGGGGAACTCGGCGCCCTGGGCAATGGTGCCGGCGAGGCAGATGACGAGGGTGAAGATGGTGGAGGCGAGGGCTGTGGTGAGTTAGAACCAACGGCACAACGAGGGGGTGTAATTGCCAATGCTCACTGTTGAACTTGTATTTCAGACGACCTCCATCAGAGAGCGGCGTGCCCTCCACGAGGGTGCCGGGCAAAACACGGTGGAGGACGGCGCTGAACAGGTAGTAGGCTATCGTCCACCCGGTGACGCTCCAGCTGGCGAATCCCCAGATGCCATTCTCGGGCCACCCGGCTTCCCTCTTCAGGGCATCGAGCGACAATGTCTTGGGCGACAGCAGAGATGGAGCAGGGCAGCCAGATATGTCGTTGCAAGCGAAGGTGAAAGCGTAGAGGAGGATGGGGAGGCCGAAGGAGACGACAAACGCGCCTGGCCTATCATATGTCAGTCTTGCCTTGCTTTGGCTGCGACGGCCTCAATTGAGCAGCTTACGGTCCGCAAAACTCATAGCCATGTGCATTCCGCACCGGCGCCTTCTTTGACTTGACTGTCATGATGTTGATGTGTAGTGTGGTGTGGTGGGAGAGACTGAATTAAGGAGCAAGGGCCCAGGGAGCGGCTTGCCGAAGGAATCGCAGGGGCACAGAAACAAATGCGCTTCTTATGAATGGCCTCCTCCTTCACGCAGCACACGGCACTGCCCTCTTGCCGCAAGGTCTGGTCGTCTGGTCGTCTGGTCGCCTGGTCTGGTGGCCCCCGGAATTGTTGGCTTCCGCAGCTGGTGATGTTGAGCCCGCCTAAAGATTCGCAGAAAGCTTTCACCACATTCTGCTGCGTAGTTACCGTAGTAGCCAATCCCCGGCGAGCTTGGCGAGGCACGGAGCAATTGGTACCCCCGCCTCCCCCACAAATGACGCTAATGTAATGCCCTGTAAGCCATTCCCTAAGTCTACGGCTTCCATCATCCCGCGTCGTACGAGTACCGTAGACACATTTTTCATACGCGGTATGTCGTTGACAATGTGTGTGAAGCGCCTCAGAAGACCACGAATACGCACATGGGATGGGCTGTGTAGACATTAGACATCTGATGGACTTGGCGATGCTTTCACTGCATCTCTAGTGAGCGTAGAAAAGACTGAAGAGCCGGGCTGCCGGGCATTTAGACTGTCCGGACCACATATCGAGTCTGTTAGACCGCAAAGGCCAGATGAGGTCATCACTCAGTCGTCCGTCCCTCGCCAGCGAGCTCGTATCGCTTCCGAGCTTCTCTTTCCACTTGACAGATAGATGTGCTCAAAAAGGGACTAGAGACTCAATACAACATTTTTGCAGCAAACATTACACCTTTTCACTATGAAAGAGGCCCGGTCAGAAGGCAGCACTGTGTTTGATAGGTTTACGCTGCTGAGGAGACAAAGCGTTTCTGTTTCCATATTGAATACGTCTATGTATCATCATGGGATCAGATATCCTAAATGTTTCGAAGAGTCATTAAATGCTTGGCATTAGACGTTCTAAAAGTAAAGCCTTCGAGACTTGATCAAAAGGCACGGTGTCTACCACAATTTTATAGAGGACAACCGATGCTTGTCTAAAACGCATCCAATGCGGTTCATGCAGCTCGATCATGACGATGAAAGCGAATAATGAACAACTAGCGTCTCCTTTTCTTTGTCCTCTTCAGATACCTCCTTGATATGAAATTGCCATGTTTCGACACGACGAATCCCTTTGAGTGAGGATTTACAGTGCATCTTGTGGCGCTGGGTGGCTCCCGGATCCTTGAATTCCAGGCACCGCCTCTCATTGGCCAGCAAATTAAAGCTGCGCCACGTGCAATCCTCCTTGCATCCCGAATCGAATCAAGGATTATGTGTTCTCCTTTTGCTGGACGGCATCATCAAAGGAAAACATCTACAAACACCATCATTGTGAAGCCCGTCGCCAGTAAGCCAGAATCGCATCACTCCCGGTCTTTGATTACTCTTGTTCTCGGATACTAGTCCTTGCTCAGACCGTCATCTTCAACCACAGCGCCGCGGGGCGCTCCGGGATTCCACCAGGTCGAAGCTCGAAACCAAGCTTGAAACCATCGAACTCGTCGCCAACATGCAGATACGCAAAACCCACTCAATATACCTGCTTCTGTCATCAATTCTCTCGGGGGCGATAGCAGACAGTACAGAACCCGAAAAGACCACTACCGTCGAGCCATGCACGGCCAAGTCGACAAGCGGCGCATTCTTCAATCTATCGCCGGATATCGCGATCAAGCTGGAGGAGGGGACGAAGCCACACAAGAGTGCTCCTAGCGAGGACTACTACGCGCGGGGATACGACTACGGCTACAACTTCACACTGAACATCTGTGCGGCGGTGGTCAAGCCGCCGAAGGAGGTGGTGGGCCTCGATGACGACCTGGCGAGGAACGTCAGCGCATACTACGAGAGCAAGGGGAAGGTCTATTCACTAGGGTCTGTTGTCTCCATATAATACATTGGTCGAGTTTTTGGCAGCTGACACGCTTGCAGACAACAATCATCGAAGTTGACTTCGAGGGGGAGGCAGCTCGTGCTGCAGTACACGGGCGGATCGCCATGCGGCGCAGAAAAGAGCAAGGACAAGCGAACTGCGACCGTACACCAGGGTGCGAGTTACAAGTACTACGACTACGACGACGAGGAGTACGATAGTGAGAAGTCGAGACAAGGCACGGACGAGGTCACCGCGCTAAGAGAAGACTCGAAGCAACGGCGCAAGTCTGCGACAATCTCCTTCCTCTGCGACCGCGAATCGTTGAACCCTACCGCCACGGCCTCATTCATCAGCGCCGATCCAGACGAGTGCGCATACTGGTTCGTGGTCCGGTCACAGCATGCGTGTGCCGGCGCACAACCGCACACGCCCGGCAGCGTCGGGCCGGGGAGCGTGTTCGTCATCATCTTCTTCATTGCCCTGCTGGTCTACTTCGTTGGTGGCGTCTTCTACCAGCGGACAGTGGCGCACGCGCGAGGATGGAGACAGCTACCGAACTACACCCTGTGGGCTGGGATCTGGAACTTCATCAAGGTGATTGGGCATCTTCCCGCCAGGGCTGTCATGCCCCGGACATCCAAGGGCTAACGCAGCGCAGGACATGTTCATCATCCTCACGTCGTCGTGCTCGCGGTTCCTCCCGAGCCGGAGGGGATACCGCACGCTTTCCATCTCGCCCAACGGGCGGGGTCGGAACCGCGACGATGAGAACCGGCTGATAGACCAGCTGGACGAGGAGTGGGACGACTAAGATGGTGGTGGTGGTGATTGTGGCTGTAAATCTTCTATGTGTATCAACTCTGGAATCTGGGCTCGCGTGCCCTCTTGATTTGCAAGACAAGGCTGGCACCATCTCCTTGTTCGGAACTGGCGTTCGGGGTCGTAGACGGATTTGCTTCTCTGTTAGATAGGGCCAGCGCATTTGGAAAACAGGACAGGTAGTCATCATATTCATTTACTATGTTAGAGCAAGTATCGTTCCCGTTTCGTACCTCGACCACTAGTGATTAAATGACTGGCCGTGCTAGATATCCATTCGGAGACACGGCTGGCCGAAGGTTCTCTTCAACATGAAAGACAACGAGGAAACCCTCATTGTACGCTTGAGGCCTGATTGCTTAGAATTTTCCGTACTAGAAAATAGGTCCGCGGAAGCCGTTATTCCCCTTGAAGTTTATCATGGAGCCAGACTGCGTGAAGAAAGAGAGTCCCAAAGTTGAATGCATGCAGCAGAACAGGAGGTGAAGCGTCTAAGATGGGCGAGTCCGCCAGTGCTGTAGTGATTGGAAGTCTGATTTCTACAACATATGCCAATCTAGAAAGCCCACCAGACGCCTCGCCTACGAGAGACTTCTAAATGTCTGTATAAATCCAGGCAAATTCATCGTTGAGTACCATTGGCATGTATTTCAGCAATGCGATGTTTTGAAAGACTGTCATTAGTGAATCTAGATCCCCTTTCCCCATGTCCCGAAGACAACCTAGACGTTAAATCTTAGGCGAATTTGTTAGCCACTCCTACCCTAATTTAGCTTGCAATAGTTTACTAAGCTGACTCAACACACACCTCACCTCTGTCAATCGATCTTTCCGTCTACAACTTTGTTTTGCGAACAGATATCCTCAAATTATATGTGTAAGATATCGTAAGAGTCTGTAATCAGCCCAAACATAATTTCCTATACTGTTTCCCGTAACAAGTGGGACATCATGTTTATTACACTCAAGGCCTCAGGGGCTGGCCGTGCTGCCCCGATCATGGAACAGGTTGCGTCGAGAAATGCGTCCAACGGCGAGGACGCAAGCCAGCCACTCTCTCGACTGAGTAGGAGACCCGCGTGCGCCTCTTGCCAGAAGAGAAAGGTAACGTCGAGTTCTAAAACATGATCACCTTTGTGCGTCTAACAAGTTATGACAGTTGCGGTGCACGGGGCGCATGCGCGATTGTGATCGATGTAGAGCAAGGGCGATCCCATGCATTTCCTCCGCGGACCAGCAGGCCAAGCGGAGTAAGCTCGCTCACTTGCCAGACTCCCAAGAGTCTCAGAGGCATCAGGCGCGCACGACCTCCTCTGTTGAGTCCGGACAGGACGATCTACAGACAAATAGTCACTTTGACTCCGCAAGTCATCAGAGGGCAACAGACCAAGAAGCTCGAAACAAGTTCAACAATCTCTTCCGCGATGACTTCATAGACTGTGAGTACTTGTACAAAATCTCCCGAAGAAGACTCGATACTTACGTCTAATCAATGGTGAAGTCGGCCTTTACGAAGACACGTCGAATGTTGCCTCTACAGGTGTACCTAGTCTTTCCGGAAATGAGCTTTTCATGGGCTTCATAGACGTTATGGAACAAGATGGTCAGTTTTCTCTGTTCATAAATTTAGATGTGCGATTATACTGACACTACTCAGCACTGTCTACGTCGACACAACCTCAGGATGCACCATTGTCGGGACTGGCTACTCCATCAATATCCACTCCAGCAACGGGTTTGATGACCACGCAAACCTCTGAGGCAACTCTATCTGATCCGGCACCATCAACGATGAAATCCCATGGTTCTAGTCCTACCAACGACCCTTCGCCTACATGCTCTTGCATTCAAGATACTCTACGGGTTGTCCAGCGGCTCGATGACGACGACTTCAAGTTGACCGCTCTCGCATTCGATCAAGTTGTGCAGCTACAGAAATGGATCATGTCCCAGTGTTGTAAACCACTGGATTGCGTCAACTGCAGAACACAGTCGACTGCGCTCACCATCATTCTTATTATTTGTGACCGCTTGACTGAGATGTTCGAATGCATTCACAAGAGGCTATTGCGAGCGACTTATCGTGTGCACGAGCATGAGATTGAACTCAGCCATGGAAGCCAGCACTCATCATCTACCACGACTCCCGAAACTCCATCTGGCGCGGATGTAGAGTCTGGGCAGCTCTATTGCACGTTCACCGGTGGAGTGGCAGGCAATGCCAATTGCAACCCTGACTTGTTCTCAGCCGAGTTCCGCAACCTCTACTCCGATGAGGAGCAAGTTCATATGATCCAGGCTCTTACAAGGTTGCAAATACGAAACTTTCGCGGGCTCCTCATGCGTGTCGACGGCGCGAGTCAGGGATCGGGAGGGGTGGCACGGCGTCTAAAGATCGAGGCAATGACGGCGAGGGTGACAAAGGCGGCAGGAAATATCGAAGCTGTCTGGTAGACACGATTAGCTTTTCATCTGGTGATATTTCACGGAGACACGGAGTACACAACACGCCTACGTAGTTGGTCTTTCCTCATCTAAGTCATTATCATATTGGCGTACGAGCCCTGAGCAATGAAATACAAGTTTCTTACAAGACACTGTTAACGATTTAATCTTTACTCGGTGTTCCCAATCGCATTTGCTTCGTGATAGACCGGCATCCACACTTGACACACATTTCTTCCCCTTTATTCGAGCCTTTGCACCAATTGCGCTGCTGGTGGGTGAAGGCTTCCGAATGAGGGAATTTGTGCGGGATTTCCTAAAGCGTTTAGCTGGATTAGAAATCAGCTTAGCTAAAGCAGCCCACTAACACACTGTAGGTCAACTATGATGGCTTTTTGATAGTGCTGTATTCCAAATGACACTGGTGTTGTAAGCCGCCAATTCAGAATAGGTGTGCCCGAGTAAACCTCCAAAGCCAGCTGGCCCATCGATGACCTCTCCAAAAAGGAAATGCCACTTTCAAAATCTCTGGATTAGTAGTATGTAGTGTTCGATTGTGACATTTTCTTGGACCTCATAAATCTGTGCTCTCATATTCTTCCTAATTCTCTCACGATGTTTCTATTCATCGTCCCCCTATTTCTAAGCCCCGTTTAGTCAGGTCTTCTCGTCGATGTCAGGATAAAAGCATCACAACTCTGCAAAACGCTACCGAGTGATATGATCAACACGCAACCTACATTTCGTGCAATAGAAGTTCTTCGTTTCATTGCAAGTTAATACGGAGCAATAGCCATGTCGGCGACTTTGGTACATTCAGAGAAACCCACGGAGGTTGGGTACAGAAACGGAGACTTCTCAGACTCCAGTGATGCGCAACTTGAGGCCAACTCTCCTCCAGAAGATATAGGAGACAAGTCAAATGAAACCAATTCACCAAGAAATGTGCACGGCGTCAAGGTCAGTCCCATAATCGCGGCGAAAGAACCACCCTTTTGACTTGCTATAGTGGTTCCTTGTCGTTACCGCGATTCTGTCGAGCATCTTTCTATACTCTTTGGACAATACGGTTGTTGCAGACATTACACCTGTGTGAATTCTCTTCCAATATGCTGGAGTGTGGAGAGTCTCTAATAAGGTGAACAGGCAGCTGTAGAGGCTCTCGGAGACAGTTTCAACTTGCCGTGGCTCTCTGTTGGGTAAGTGTACTGTCTTACGAAAGATGAAGGATGAAACGTTTTAATTGATTTCTTGTTTAGATTTACACTTGGCGGCATTGCTGTTGTTCTACCGTTCGGACGAATCTATGGCCTTTTTGACGCCAAGTGGCTTTACATTGGGTCTTCCGTGATCTTCAACGTTGGGTCAGCTGTATGTGGCTCGGCTCCGAACATGAATGCTCTCATAGTCGGCCGCGTGCTCGCAGGTATGGGCGGTAATGGAATGTACCTTGGAGTCATGACACTTCTTTCTGTCAACACCTCTGACAGAGAGCGCCCGGGGTATTTGAGTTTTGTGTAAGCCGTCCCTTTCCCCGACACGTATGATATTTGGACTGATTGTGTTTGGCAGTGGTTTAGTTTGGGGCATCGGTACTGTCTTGGGTCCTGTTGTCGGCGGTGCCTTTGCGGAATCGAGCGCCACTTGGAGGTGGGCTTTCTATATCAACCTCTGCGTGTGCGGCCTCTTTGCGCCTGTCTATCTGTTGTGGATACCGTCATTCAAGCCTCGGCGAGAAGCGCGAACCATTCATCTACTCCGCGAATTTGATGGCTTTGGAACGATCTTGAGTATGGGAGCTATGATCAGTCTCTTTATGGCCACGAATTTTGGGGGAGCCTTGTATCCCTGGAAAAGCGGCCAAGTCATCGCCCTATTCGTTGTCTCAGGTGTGCTGTTCACAGTCTTCGGAATCCAGCAGGGCAAGATAATCTTTACTACCAGCAATACTCGGATTTTCCCTGCCCACTTTCTGCGCAACTTCAACGCTGTATTACTATACATCTGCGCCTCTGCAATCAATGCCGCAGGATTCATCCCCATCTATTACATTCCTCTTTATTTTCAGTTCACCAGAGGCGATGGTGCCATTACAGCTGCTGTTCGACTTCTTCCCTTGATCTTTGTGCTGAGCGCAGCTATCTTGGCAAATGGCCACCTCATGTCACGGTTCAGCCATTTTCAGCCTTGGTATATCTTTGGAAGTGTTCTGACCTTAATCGGTGGTGTTCTCTTGTGTAGGTTACAGTCTAGACTTTGACCTCACAGAGTGGGGAGGATCCTTTCTTGAGACGTTAGGCTAATTCCGTCAGCGCGGATCGAAACCGACACCTCCACCTCGAAGATTTATGGATATGAAATATTACTTGGCATCGGGTCTGGCTGCTTTATTCAAGCTGGTTATGCAGTTATTCAAACCGTAGTGCCTTCAGCAGACATGGCCTATGCAATTAGCTTCATGATGCTAGGTAAGTTGTTCTCATGACCTTGTGGCCTATTTCCATTTTTGCTGATGCAGACATGCAGCTCAGATCGGTGGCATTGCTT